CTTAACTCCTCTTCTATTCGTTATTGGCCCATGCATAATGAACTTTTTTGTTGAAAATTTTGTCTAGAATCACCCCAGATTGGCCATTAAGAACTGACACACCCTGTGTGTATATTCAAATATATTTAAAATATAGTGTTATTTTTTTTTCCAACCCTGCTTCACCTTATAGACAATACACAGGGTTTTCCCCAGCAAGAGGAGAGGGCGGTGGGTTAATCTAAAATATATTAACAAGAGAAATATAAATAAAAGCAAACCTGATAGAATTAATTAAATTCTGTTATTACTTATGCTTGTAACCAACAATATAAGTCTGTTCAATAACCAGCTGGTATTAACAGATGGTACTTACACATGTTAATCTTTTTTTTTTGTTAAATTTTGAGTTTTTCTTTAAATCAGAGGAATAAGATGATTAAGCAATTGAAAGTTTATTTACTTAATTGCAAGAAAAATTTAAAGCAAATTATTATATTTTTCTGGATGAAAATATTTTAATGTATGTTATGTTTTAATGTACTTTGTTTTATTAATAGTATAAATATTTAGTTACAATAGACATTTATCCAGACAATAATAAAAATATGGCATCTGTAAATGTTATGATCACTAAATTTCAGGTAAATATCCCAAGTGAACCTGCCAATCTCCATTTATTTATTCCTTACAGGATATTATTATATTTAAGAAATTCAAAATTTTTCGTTCACCACAGCAATATAAGGCTATGGATCCAAATATTGAATGTTTTAGTAAAGTTAAATTTAGGATCAGTAACCATATTAACTGTTTTAGAATAAATTATTATTAAAAAAAAAATATTACAAAGCAAACCACTTACGATTCAAATGTTGCAACCAATACATTTGCTCAGGGGTACTACTTATATTCCATTTGAGTCAACTCCATTATCTGGACCCACCCCAGTTCAACATAACCAAATCAAAAAAATATTATATACATATGTGTCTTTCTAAAAATAATTTGAAGTTTACTGCATCACTCTCTCTCTCTATGTAGTACACATATATATATATGTGTGTGTGTTTGTTTTACATATTAACATGTGTTACATTGATATGGATGATATACTTGAGAATTCATTTAAGTAGTTCATATAGTAGATAGTGAAGTGATCTATAAGTATATTTTTTAACTAAGAGAAAAATAGTAATGTTACATTCTGACCAAAAAGAGAAACATATTCCAACTGTTCCAGTTCAGATAGTTTCCATATTTTCACATTTGATTTCTTTGTTTTGGTGTTCCTGTATAAGAAATAATCTCCTTCAGTTATCAAATACTTATTATCTAACCTATTTAATTCAATTTAGGTACACAAGGATTAAAGGTAAAAAAACAAAATCAAACTAAAGAATTTATTGCCAACCAATGTATAAAAACAAAATAAGAAAAACAAATTAAAATAATACATTTATAAAAACATCATTATTTAATAAAAATAATATGGTTACTATGAGTGGTCAGAATCAGATCAGTTGGAACAGTTTCTAAGGATACTGTTACTTGGAACTGGATAGTAATCAATAGTAACATGTTTTCAAATAATAATTCATTGGAAATCAGTCAGATAAGAATGAAATAAAAATAACTAAGTAATAATTTTTAATAATGAAGCTTTTTAATTGGCCAAGAAAAAAAATCTGTGGCTATTCTCAGAAAATAGGACCTCCTTTTTTTTTTTTTTAATGTATGGCACTATAGTCAGAGGTTACCCAAGAATGATCATTGAAACTTGACAATACCATTCACTAAATGGCAGAAGAAATTTAATAGGTTCCTATATCTGCCAATTATAAATACACAGCAAAAATATAACGTGTTTTAGAATCATTATATCAAAACCTTTGAAAAAAAAATAAGGAAGAAACTTTCTTATTATTGAGTACTGGTGGAGAGAACCAGTCGGGCAAGTAGTCCTTTTGGCTTTGTGACAGCTGCCTGAAGGTTACCAGCATACTTACTAGAGTGGAAGTTTCAAGATTAATTTCCTGGAGCTTTCAAGAAATAAATATTCACATATCTAGGTGGGAATCTGGCACCCTGGGGCCCACCCTCCATATATTGTATGTCTGAGCCATGTATATTTCGGTACTTGTCCATTAGCAGGAGGGACGAAACCTCTCTTGTTATCTAACATTAGGTCACATATATCTCCCTCTTCTTATCTCGCCAAACCTTTTAGTTATTACATTAAGTTATTCACTTCTTAAATTCTTTATTCTTGGCCCGTTTGTGTTATTTTTTGTCAAATTATAAATCTTGTTACATTCTGGGAATTACTGTCTTCAGAAGAACAGGCTATTGAATATTTTCAAAATGTTGGGATAATTGCAAACATGAAATTGTGTGAGAAAGGTCATCAAATGAAGTTAGACAAGGATACGAAATGGAGATGCTGTCACATTTCCTACATATACATATATTAATGTAATATATATGTAGTAAAATAAAAGTATTTTTTTATTATTATATTTGTTTTTGTTACAATTTCAATAATAGATTAAATATGAATAGGAATTAGGAGAAGGCTTATCAGTGTTCAGGTTATAAACATTGGCAGATAGCAGTCCATCCTGCTGGGCTAATGGACAAGTACCTGTATTTCTCAAGTGAGCTGACCAATTTTTTTGTTTACTATACAAGTATTTGTTTTGGTCCAACTGTATAGGCTAGAACTGCTAAAGTATATAACTGTATCATAAGAATGCAACATTAGCTGATGTATTAAAAAAGAAAATAATCTGTTTATTCTGGTGATTTTTTATTATATTTCCACTTTAATAATCTCCAATAAATTATTATTAGCAATATCATCACAGTCAAATAAAACATTTAAGTTTGTTATATCAGGTTAAAAATCACAAATGTGAGAAAAATTATAATTTAAAATGAACTATGAGCTTAAGTGAGGAGAAATAATATCTGTTTGTGGCAATTAATGTTTTCTTTAACCATAGTATATATATTTATATCTGTATCTTGGGACAAAAACAGTCAATATACAAATATATATATATATATAATCCCCCTCCCCCAACTTGTAAACTCTTTCATCTCTTTATGAGAAAGCCATTTAATAAATAGTCAAGACCTTATTTTACTAATATTTTTTAATGTTTCGTAGCAACAAAATTTCTGTAGCATTCCTTTATGTTATTACACTATTAAATATTAAAAAAATTCAATTAAAATTTTTTGATTAATTGTTGCTAAATTATTTGAGTATAAAAAAGATAGAGAATTTATTGAATAAGTTTTCAATTAAATCTTCTAATTCATAATACAAAAAGTATATACAACTATTATTAACATTCTACTGAAGAGCACCCTTCAAACAATGATTTTATTAATAAGTAGCAATATATGCACATTTTGAAACGCTACAAGGTCTGACAATAAAGTTTGTAAAATGTTTTTTTACTTCTTCCCCAACTAGCAAAATCAATTGATCCAGAGGTATGAACAAAAAATTGCGGAAGGATCAAAATGATGCTGATAATTGTAAAATTCCTTGTACATCAAAGAAAACTAAATTTTGTTTTAAATTTAATTAAAATTAAAAATAAACTAAAATTTGTTTTATTTGCTATATGAATTGGTTTAAGGAGGATAAAACTTCCACATAAGACATTCAATAATTAGGAAATTACACAAGTATAAAAAAACAACTTACATAAGAACCTAGCGGTGCGATAGTTTGAGAGCTAAAATCATTACCTCCTTTATGTAAACTACAACTTTCATCTCATGGGTTAAATGTTTAATGTTAGTATTATTATATTTAGCCAGATAAGGTTCCGGTATTATTTGTTATTGGAAGTGAAGGAAGTACCACAGAAGACAACTGATGAACCAATATATATATTGTAGACTTTTTTTTTTTCTGTTGGCTTTACAGATCATGTTGATCTTCAGCAGCCTGAACTGGTTTTATCAACCTTGGCTTATCTAGGGCTATTGTTAACCAACTTGGTTGATTTTATCTATCCATTTGGCTTTTGGCCTTCCGTAAGGTACCTTTTAATTATTAGGATAAATAAATATTTGCTTACGATGATAACAATTGACAATATAAAAAAAAATTAAAGCTATTTTTTTTCAATTGATTGAAATAATAAACATCAAAATAGTACAATCGCTTCAAATAATAACAATCACATGAAAAAAAAAATTTTGACAATGCCGCTTATGTTGTTATGTAGAGGGAGAACACTTTCCCTATCTTTAATGTAACTTCCTGAACTATGCTTCACCCAAAAGGTCCTTTCTTAAGTCGTTTGTCTATTACCTGAGTTGCGATGACAACTCTTGGAAAAGTTCAATACACGATCAAATGAGACTAACGCTCTAAAATAAATGCACTCTTTCTTTGACATAACGAGAAAGATTATTCATCTTATTCTAACTGAATAATTGGCACATTATAATCTGTTTTTCATTCCTAGGACAAATATCAATAGGAAAGTTTGTCTCTGGAATAAAAATTAGGTTTCCATTGAGATTAGAGATGGAATAGGTCTTTACATAATACTAACAGTATAAAATGAAAAATTCATGAGTCTGTCAATGCTCAATACAACCTCAGTGATGTGACACAATTATAAAAAATATCTCAAAAGTTAAGATCTAATTTCAAGCAAGAACAGTCAGCTCAATATTCCTCATTAACTGAAGAAAAGTTGAAAAGTTTGGCACCGTAGAAAGGATTTAGACAGAAACTGAACAAAAAGTAGACTTTTAAAACTAAAAATTGTTTTAAAGCATTAACAAATAAAAATAAAAATAAAAAATGCAAACATAAAAATTTAGAAAGGAATATTTCCTAATGTTTATTTTTCTCAATAAAGAATTTAAACGATACTATTCACAACCTTTACTGTCATACCTTGTATATAGTGGGGAAGTTTATAAAGTATATATGTATATACAGAAAAATGTATTTTAGCACAGTAATTAAAATAAATAGATTGTTTTTAATCTTCCCCATCTTCATCAGGACTTGCACCATCAACGTCAGCTGCATCATCTTGCTCTTCCTGTTCCTCTTCGTCATCATCACCAGCAACTTCAGCATTTTCTGCTTCAGCTCTTTCCATTTGCCTGGCCAATTCTGCTTCATCGGTAGCAGTAACCACTTTTGGCTAAAACAAATAAACACAGAGTACACATAAGTCATAAATTTGAACTGAAATAAATTATTCAGAAAATCAATTATGTCATATGAAAAAGATTCATATAAGAAATTCCAATAGCCATGATCGGTTATTCTGTTATAATGGAAAGTTTTCCCGATATTAGAGAAAACCTAAAAAACAGCAACAAACATGACTAATTTTTTTTTTCTTCACCATAGTCATAATTGGGGAAGAATATCTTGCAAACTAAGCGAGTTAGCGAAATAAGGTAATAAACAATAATAATATAAGGTAATAATCAATCATATTGCAAATTTTATCAGCTTTAACTTTGTATAGAATGTCTTTGTCGATGCAATAGATAGTTTTTCTGATGTAAGCGAAAATCCCCCAAAAAAGTGACCCATAGACGCCATCTCCCCACATCTGGCTCACCACCTAGGAGTGGTGACTTTTAGTAATTTTACCTCCTTATTAGTCCCATAGTAAACATACTAAAAGTATCCTTTGGGATAACGTAAATATAAAACTAAGGGCCGGTTGCACCAACCATTGTTAACTTTAATTTTGATCAGTTAAACAACGGTTTACAGAATTTTTGTTGCACCAATGTACATTAGTCTTAACACTGTGTTAAGTTAATACAGCTAACTAATCCAATGTTAGACCTTGTTCAAATATTTAAATGATGTTAAAGTGTAACCTCACATACGGTTACTTCTAACAACAAATATTTGCTTCTTCTGAGAACACTAGTATACTGTTTTTGATTTGTACGTTTTTCAAGACAACTAAAAATACAATTTCTTCAGAAGAAAGTTTTTCATCAGAAAAAGACTTATACTTTTAAGCATATTGGGATCAACTTGTATGCATATACACTGGAGAAAACCAGAGTATATACATACAAGAGGGAGAAAGAACTAAAAATAATATTTACAATTAAGGTGTTGTAAGTTTTCTTTGCATAGCTCAAAACATATGAATGTAAAAATCTGGCACGGTGCGCATGTTATACAACTTTCACTTATCACCTTCTTCTTAGCAGAAATAATTATTTTCAGACAAAGGGAAAGTGAAAGTAAAAATTATAGACACTATAATTATTTATATTTCATTGTGGGTATTTTTATTTGTTTAAGTACCCTTATATATACAAATTTTAATATTTATATCAGTGTAATATATACAATTACATATTAAATAATACCAACAATGGCATTTATGAAAACCGCATATTTATATTTATATAATATTATCGGAATTGATATTACATTAAGCTCATGATACGTATGGAAGCCTGTTATAATCTTTCAGCCGAGCTCGAGTGCGATCAATTACAACTATTCTCCGTTACGATTCTTTATTTCTCATTTAGTTAATTATCAAATTCTTTCATATTTTATATTTAAATATTTTAAGGCCTGTTAGAGAACATAAATCAGAATAAAAACTACATTTTATTTAAAACTGCTTAATTTTACACTGGTATAATGAATTTAATCAAAATCGTTCAAGCCGTTTACGAGAAAATTGTAAAAATGTGTTTAGCCCATGATATGAAGTGCCACTTCCGGTCAGATTTGTCAAATTTGACAAAAAAGTTACTGTAACATCCCTAGCATATAAAAACCTTAAATATGCAATTTCACTTTCGTACGACTTTTCGTTTTACAGCAAGACTGTTAACACACAGAGATTTTGCGGGACTTGGTAATATAGACTAAGGGAACCTCAAAACATGTATTTCCATTGAAAACTGAGATTCAAAAATTTCCATGATCGCAATACTTTCCTTTACAATATATTTTATAAACAGGTAAGTGAAAGTAAAAAAAATAATATAACAATCAAACTTATTAACCTACCGGTCATCTATTTATTTTAATTGCTTGTGGTTTTTAATATAAATTTTAGGTGTTATTGAGTTTCTTGATTAGTCATTAAATAAAAACATGTGATAATTACTTTTTAAGATTTAATTAGTTGGCCTGCAATAATTCGCCTTGCATATTGGCCAGAGAACACCAGACAATATAATACATGGATAAGTTAGAGAAATGTATTAAGATATTGAGAAAATATTTTTTTTTTTCTCAGTTGAATTACATTGGTTCATTTACAATAAACAAAAACATGTATACATTACTATACGCAGTATCTTGGCTAATAATTATCAGAATTTGATTTTTTTTGTTTTGTATAAAATCTTTCAAATAATCATCGGTACAATCACAAATAAATGTATACTTTCAGAGTAATTTGCAAATAAAATTCCTTTTCCTTTATAGATTTTTTCCCCTGAAATTTCTGGAGGATGTGACTATAATTCGTCACTTCTCCATGAAATTCCCTTTCATTTGATACTTAATTCATCAAAACCCATCTTGATGGCTCCAGAGAGCTGAAAAAGGGATTTACACAGCGAAAAACTATTATATGGTATATAAAGACAGATTACATTATAAACAATACAATTTAATAAAAATAAAAATTCTTACCGCCATTTGAACTTGAAAAACTCCTCCTAAAGTAGTGATTTCTTTCTCAATAACATCAATAGCATTTTGAAGCGCCTTCAATCCTTCGGATTTTTCAGGAGTTGCTGTAGTCATCACTAATAAATCAAAACAGTTAATTTTATAAAAATGACACTAATTCTAATTCTTCACATAATTTGAATAATAGAATTTGAAAAATATATCACTACTGTCAGTGCAAAAGCTATAAGTAGTCTGCTAAATAGAAAAATAGCAGAGGTAATTAAAATATGAAATTATATTAATAGATCATAAAGATGTAACGAGTTTTTAGGCTTTTCTGTTAAAAAACAAAACAAAAAAAATCAATTTTTAGATACAACCTTTTGCACTAACAGTAATGCCATATGAATAGAAATGTATAATTGTTAAGAATATTCTACATTATCTCTACTGAGTAATTATTTCCTGTCTTAAGTTAGTTTTAAGCATGTACAATATAATTTACCAGACTTGGAAACATTTGTTTAGAGAATGATCTTTATTAGTGAAGAGTCTTTAAGAAGACACTGAAACTATTGCTAAACCAATATTTTTATATTACACAATTATTTAATATTTAAAAAAATAAATTTCCTCCTTTTAAATTTGTTATATAAATTCTTAATTCTCTGTTAAATTATTATTACCTCTTTGGAGGAAATTTTTAACAATATCCTGTTTCACCTTAATTAGTTCTAGTATGGAGTTCATCACAATGAGTTACTCAAATAAAAAGTTAACATCATGGCACAGTTACAGTTTTTACATTAAAAAATTGTCAATTATCAATCTAATTTGTGTATAGATGTAGCTATAGAATGGAAATTTTGGAAGCAAGCCTTATAAAGATTTCACAGAGGGGTGAATCTTCAGGCATGGTATTAATGCTTACATGAAAAAATGAGACTCCTGAACTAATTCACATAGCAGCAATTGCACACCTAGTTTCTGTTACAATATAGTTGGTTAATATTCCAACACTGGCACTCATCTTACAGGAGCATATGTTTTATTATACTAGCATTACAATTTCTAGAATCTTATGAAAAAATTATCGAGAACACTTTCATTTAACCTGCCAACTTTTGTTACTTCTGCAACTTCAATTGACCCATATATCTTCATGTTCACTTTATCTTTCTTACCTCATTGATTAGATATCGTTAATATCACATGAATGCTCTTCAACTGTCCAATGTAAGTTTTTTTTATTTTTATAACAATAATAAATTTTATTATGCTTTAATGTATAATATTACTTAGTTGCAATCTAATTTGAACCCTCAAAACTGAACCTATGGGATGCAGCATAAGGAATGTGCCTAATTAAAGCAATCGTGATTAAATGTTAGTTAGTTTTTATTTTCTCCTTATATTTAGTTCGGTAATACAATAATATTAAACACACATACCATATAAAGGAGGTGCAATGAGATTAATTTTAATAGGTAATTCCTCGGTAGATAAAGCCAATCCAGCTTTAAGTGCAGTTTTCACAGCATCAATACCTTCATAGCCATAACACGCTACTTCAATATCAGAGCGTATTTTCACAGCCTGGGAAGTTAATTTTCTTTTAATGTTTGTTAATAAAACTTCCTGGGTTTTTTCATCTAACCCACATTCCGCAAGAATAGAGTTATCACTAAATGTAAAATAAAAATGTTGAACAGAATATACGGACACATAAAACAAATATATGATATACACCTACTTTATATTATAAAATACATAATCAATAGACTCTTAAAAGTGTGGTGTATACAAACTAATAAAATTGCATAAGCAACTTATGATTCTTGTATTATAAAAATCCAATTATAAGACTTTGTATGATCTTAGTTTCTAGCAAGATGAAGGTTTTAATCTTAACAATTTTACTAACATTCCACAATTAGAAAATAGTTATAATAAGAATAAAAACATTATTTAAACACTAAAACAATAAATATACAATTCATTTTTAAAAATACTCACATAACTGCTTGTTTAAAGAAATCATAGGCAGATGCCTTCTTTTTATTCCTTTCTTCAAAAAACCAAGCTGTTCTTTGATATAAATCTTCCAGTTGTTCGTCAGTTTCATAATGCAGAAGTTCTGCAACATGTCTCAAGATTGAGTTAACTGCTTTTGCTTTAGCAAACCTTTCAGTACACTTTTCAACATCTTCTGGTGAAACACGTCGTTTACTCAAGTCGATGTAACCTAAAAATAGTTTTTAAATCAATTAAGAAAATAACATCACTGACTTGTTATAATTTTATTAAAACAGAAAAAAGTATGCAAATTTGAGCTGTAATAGAATTCAAGTGATAAAGAATATACATAAGATTGCAATTACACTTTTTAAATAATAAAAAAACTGAAACATATTTCTTGAATGGAAGTTTTGAAGTTAAAAAGTATAAGATACTCAAAGGTATGAATTAGTCACAGACAACACATGACGTTGCCTTGTCTCTACTCTAGTGATGCAGCTCTATCCACAACACTTTACCTTAACTTAATTATCTATGCAAATATGAATCAGAAATATTTGAGACTTTTGTATTTTTTTTGATCAAATCTAACCTTCACGATGAATAAAAATTAAAATATTCAAGCAGGTACCCAGTTATATTTATGGTTCAAAAAGGAATAATTTTTACCTGAGCTTTGACTGTAAACGATTTGATTTAAATAAAGAAAATAACATCACTAAAGCAAATTATATCCGTATTTTATAACTAACATATATATATATATATATATGCTATTTATAACATAGCAATACCAATAAATTAATGAAAACATGTCAATACATTGTCAACTGACTATTTACCTTTTTCTTTATCGACCCTAATGACAACTACAGGTTCGGTTTTGCCAACCCTAATGAGTTTGTTAATTGATCGTATACGTCGCCTGGATAATTCAGACAACAATATCATTCCTTCAATATTATTATACTCCAATAAATGAACATAGGCACCCATTTCAGCAATGCTACGAACATTTACCATAACCACATCTTCAACCTCTGGGTACTTCTCTTTATAAAACCTACAGCTGAGCGGCATTTTCCTAAAATAAAGAACAAGTTAAATTAGAAATTTTAATTAAAATCTTTTGAAATATATTATATCTTAGGACAGTTGTTATAAGTGACTGTTATTATTGTGCTATCTCAGATTGATAAAGGAGCTAACATTTATATTACCTTTTACTGTCAAATATTTCACAATGATCAGTACTTCCAAATTTTCAGGACTGGAATAATATATATTTAATCTGAGATAATTATGAAAAGAATGTATTAGAATGGGTGGATAAGAAAATCAGACACAACCAGGCAGTAACAAAATCACTTCAGGCTGATGGTGGGTAAAGAATTCACGATTCACATATATTTTATTTAATATATGCTTGATTTAAAATTTGTACCACAACATATTATATATATATATATATATATATATATATATATATATATATATATATCAGAATAATATTCTATTATTCTTAAGGGACTTCGTCCCAGAATAAAGTTATTTTCTATTCTATAACCTTAAGCATTAGTAGTATAAGTTCAGTTTTAGAAACACTATTTTAATACTAACAGATTACACATTCTATATTAAATATTTATTGGTTAAACATATAGATAAAAGGAATGAGATGATCCACAAAGCAATTTCATATATTAAAATGAATGACATTTCGATCGACTTTGCATGTCTTCATAAGAAATTGGGGAAAAGACATAAATTAGAGGAGTACAGGAATAGTTTACTATTGTAGGGTACTTTCTTGACTGGCACCTGGACCATCTCCCCCTGATTACACATACAATGAAAAATTTTTTTGGAAAATATACAATTAAATTTAAATAACTAATAACCATAGCCCATACATGAAAAATCAGTTTGATTGCCAATTCGGAATTTATATGATTGAAAAGTCCACTCTTAAAAAAAAACAGGCTGATTTTAATTTTAAAGTAAAACATTATCAAAATGATGTATAAAAGATTAAAAGGAAATTCTGAATTAAATAGATGAGATTTATTTGAAGACAGGGTATATAACAGGTTCACTTAAATTCAGCCAAAAATTGATGTAATAAAAATAACTATTACTTACTACAGGTAATGTATAACACCTAAAATATGTTATAAACTCCTGGACAGCACGCGTTTGATTACTTCACAGCGCCCTAAAGACAGATCAACTAAATTACCTATCGATAGTATAACTTTCCAAAGATTTAAAACACTTTGACATCATGGGAAGGCTGGAAAATTTATTATCAGATAACTCTCTAATTGTGAATGATATTAATGCTTTGTGTTTTATCAACACTGAAAATTCTTAATTAAAGATTGATTTTCTTTCATTTATTCATTTTTTGATTAAGAATATCAATTGCTATCATAAAAATTAAGAGAAGACGACTCTAACCTAAAAAGATCACGTACCTCGATCAAACAAGTTATTGAAAAAAAAATGAACGAAAGAATGCTATGGATAGTATAGAAATGTTAAATAATGGAAAACAATCATCCCACATAAGAGAGTAAGTAACATGAGAAGTATCTTTTTTTATTTTAAGACTTCAACCACTAGGGTCATTATTACCTTATTTTCATTGAGAATTAGATTGTATTTTCAAGTTTAGAACATTTCAGAAAAGAAAATAATTTATCAATTTCATTCGTATTGTCCTGTAAAATGAAGTGTCGATCGTTTGTCAATTCATAAGATAGTCTAAATGTTTTGTAAGCTCTGCATTCTGTTAAAATGTGTTTTACTGTCAGAGGAGTCCCACAGGTTTGGCATTTTGGTGAAGAATCACGGGCCATCAGGTATCCATGGGTAGTATCTTAATTAAAGATACTCATCGTAATATGAGAAGTATCTTAACCGTCATGAACAGCCTATTTTCTTCTTCACCAAAAAGAAAATCGATTAATATGTTCAATATCTGGACTAAATCGTCTTATTGCTTCTTCACGTCTTTGATATTTTTAACTACTTAAAATGTAGCGAATAAAAGTTCACCGCAATCGACTTTAATTTAACGATGATCCATTGTCGTCTTTTTCTTGCTGAATATTTACAATACCATCCAAAACAAAAGCTGTAGCAGAAACAGTCTTCTTTACGTTACATGATATACTGAATCTAAGCTTTAAATTAAGTTAAAATGACTATGTTGATAGTTCAAGTGGATTATACCGGTTTGTGTTCGTTCGCAGGGCATAGTATGACCCACACAAACAGGATCGATGGGAAGCCAGTTTCAGTTTACGATTTGAGAGCTCTTGAATGAAAAGGTCTTACTTTAATTTATTTAAAACAACAAGAAATATGGATGTTAGCAGACCCAATAAACCCCGGTTTTGCAACTCATTTGTCAAACTAAATGACGTTCCAGAAACCAAACTGGTGTTAAAAATAAGTAACTGATGACGAAGTCCAAGGAACACAGAAATCCAAGCATTATTTCACAAGACTTACGTGTTTGCGGGTGGTATATCAAGCTGGATGTGTATTTTGAGCAAAACTGCAGTTGGCCTATACTATTAAGGTAACATAAGTATTTTGGCTGAAGGCCCAAATCCAACAATCTGCTCAGCTTTGGAAAGATTATTGGCAGTTACTCATCAGTCAATTCCAGATGCCATGGACAGATCTATGAGGAGAGGCTTTTGGTTATAAAATATAATAATGTCTTATGAAAAAAATTATCTCTAAATAAAATTGGGCAATAAGTTTTTATATGAAAATAACTTGTTTCTCTCATATAATTATAGGCTTCAAGAATCAGATAAACCACCATTTCATAAAGGTAGTTGTTTTTCTTTTTTTTCTAAAGTAATTATGGTTATATATATATATATATAAAATTTTGGGCTGAAGCCTTCCCAAAATTAAATCCTTGATCTACCAGGGTCAGAAACTACTAATCTCTTCTAGAACTTATGTTGCAGAAGAGATGAAAGTCAAAGTGAATTTACTCAAATTTTGACAAACTACAAATATACACTAGGCTTTCAGGATGGTAAGGGGTAATCCACAAAGGGGAGACATCTAGAAATTGGAGATACACCAGACATTTTTGATAAATTGACTACATAACCTGAAACATATTGCTAAGAGGGGGGGGGAGGGAAGGGGAGGAAAATGGCTAGACAATTATCTCCTTGCATCAGACATAATTGCTGAGTTCTCTTAAAAGTTGGTATGGTAAAAAAAATAATACTGAGTTTAATAATTAACAATAAGGACTGCATACTTTAAATCTATCTAATATTCAACAGCCACTCATCTAAAATCTGATCTGTCAATACCTTGAACTTCAATAGACAGTTCTAATCTTATAGTAGCATCTCCCATATTAGAACAATAAGCCATCATTGGTCATAGCAAGTCACAGGGTTTTGAGAAGTATCAACATCTTCATATAAAAATGAAGATATATTTAACTACTTTTTTATTCTTTGCACACTCTTAATGTTATTCTTTTGTATTAATATAGTTATCTTGTATCAAATAGGTTCTCAATGGTTCAGCAGTGTTCCAATTTCCTATTTTACAAATCAATCTATACTAAATTTTTGTTAACATCATTGTATGTATATTTTTTATTACATACAATCACAATTTGTTATTAAAACTTTCTTCTGGAGTAATCATCTAGTCATTTCTATGCATATTATTAGTTAGAAAATATTAAAGGTTGCTTTCATTTCCAACATTTCCAAGCACCATTAAAAATGAAAAGTGGTGTTAATGTTGTTGGGATTAATGCAAACTCACTTTGATTTTTCTTGGAACAGCAACAGCTGATGATTCCAAAAAAAGATACTTTAATACCCTAGGCTATTCCTCCTAGTCCATAGTACAGACCCCTTTTTATCAAATAATTAACATTTCTCTAAACGTCATGAATGGCATGGTCTTATCTTCACCTACAATTATTTTATTTACAGAAATTGGGCTTTTTTAATCTAGAGATCGGTAAGTTTTGGCTATTTAATGAGGTACCAAAAACTTATGAACTCCATTTGATTACCAAATTAACTTTAGATAATTTGATCACAAAATTGAAAAAGAAATCCTGGGGCTACCAATAATATTGAACCGATTGGCCAATATAACCTTGTTATCGTGACGTGTGTGGAGTGGAGGTCATGCCAATTTTGGGTGCCATAATCACACCAATAAAAATATTGTGCATGATCTCCACCCCTAAAATGTCAAAATAACGTTTTGTAAGCAAAACGGACTAATATTTTTATAGGTAACTTTTTTTCTACAAGTATGTGGACACTTACATTGATGGACAAAAGTCTAGTGCTGCTTGGAGGACATTAAAAAGTTTGAAAAATCCCAAAAGATGTGGAGATAACTTCCCATTGATCAAGGAGCAGCAATGGGTGAATTACTTTGAAGAATTATTTCATGAGGAGCAACCCGAATTCGCATGGAACCAATCCGATGAAATAATGCTAAATAAGGAAGATATACCGCCAATCACAATCATAGAACTGGATTCAGTCCTCAAAGGAATGAAAAATAGAAAATCTCCCAGCCCTGGTTCTATTCCAATTGAATTAATTAAAGCAGGCCCGACCGAACTCAAAATGGCACTGGCAGAAAGTATGACACTTCTGTTAAATGGTGGAGAGATTCCTGAAGAATGGAAACAGGGTTATATCACTCCAGTTTTCAAAAAAGGCCAAAAGAAAGATGTTTCCAACTACAGAGGTATTACTGTTACCAGCTCGCTGAGTAGATTATACGGCCGGATAATTAAAAGCAGAATTGAAAATGATTTAAAGGAAGAGATCAGCGAGAAACAGGCGGGTTTTCGAGCTGGAAGGTCATGCACTGATCACATTTTTAGTCTCTCACAACTTATAGGAAAAGAGGATGGCCCACGACCGTGAACTCCATATGATATTTGTAGATTTACACAAGGCCTATGATTCAGCACCTCTAGCGAAATTGTGGAAAGCTTTGGAATCCACATCTATTAAGAGATACCTCATCAGAGCAATTCAAGAGCTCTATAAAAATATAACGGGGGCTATAAAAATTGGAGATAGAGTGTCTAGAAGCTTCTTCATTAACAAAGGATTGAAACAGGGCTGCTGCCTTTCACCCCTGATTTTCAACATTTATATAGAACAAGCCCTTAAAAACTGGAAAAGATCGTGCTGTGGAATGGGTGTTCAAATCGGGAATGATGTCATCTACAATTTGCAGTATGCCGATGACCAAGTCATAATCGCATCGGATCCGGATGATGTTAGCTATATGATAAGGAAGTTGCTGGACACGTATTCCAGATGGGGTCTGAAAATCAGTGAAAGTAAAACAGAGTATATGGTTTTCACCGCTCCAAATTTGCCCCTTGAAATTGATGACTGGACACTAAATGTCAGCCAACAGTTCAAGTACCTCGGATACTGGTTATCTTCAAAGGGTGGTAGTGAGGTTGATATCGAACATAAAATAAATAATGGGAAAAGAATAATAAGTTCGATAAATTCAACCCTATGGAGGAAAGAAATAAGATTAGAAACTAAAAAAAAGATATACCATTCCTTTGTAGAAAGCGTAGCCACTTACGGATCAGAAGTCTGGACACTGACAAAAAAGATGGAAAATAAGTTGCTTTCTATGGAAATGGATTTCTGGAGAAGAAGCTGTGGCATATCCAGAATCGAGCGGATCCCAAACGCAGCAATTAGAGACAAGGTCGGATGTCAAAAGAACATCCTTCACCTGATCGGGACCAAACGGTTAAAGTGGTATGGCCACTTAATGCGGATGGATGAGAACCGCTGGCCAAAGAAAATTTATAACTATATGCCACCTGAAAGAAGGAAGCGTGGAAGGCCAAAGAAGAAATGGATAGAGGACGTGGAGGAAAGCATTGCAGCCAGAGGGCTTCGTGAGGGAGATTGGAGGGACAGGGAGCAGTGGCTTTTGGGTGTGGGGGATATGACTCCTTGAGTTGTATAAAACCCAAATAAATAAAAAAACTTTTTTTCTTGATTTTGTGATTAAAGTATCTTACGATTCAAAGTGAAAAGCAAATGGGAATTCATGAGTTTTTAGTACTTCATTAAATTAATGAGAAAATGCCCCACTTCTGAGAATTTTTGTAGATAAAAAAGTTGCCGTTTACAATCAGATGAAACCATTCACTAAGCTTTAGACAAATGTTGATAATTTCATAGAAAGAGATCTGTACTGCGGACTTTCAAGTTTGTTATCTAGTAAAAAAACAAAGACAAATTACTTCCAACCATAAAATGTACGACAGTAATACATAGAAATAATTCTGGGAAAAGGAAAAGGTAATTCTTTTTAACAATAATATAATGATTCAAACAATAAGAATCATTCCACATTTTCTTTGATACGTCTTCTTTTTACAAAGTGGCAGATCTTTTCTTCTAATGTACCTAAAAAAAAAAAGATTAATGTTTAACAAATAGGTATGAACTATTATTTTGCACCATGCTAATTAAAAACAAAAGTTAATTTGAAAGATGTATGTGGAGTTAAACAACATCTATCAAGAAAGAAAATTGAATGGAAGCTTTTTAAACATTGAAGCAAAACATTATACTTACTACATTTATTTCTTGTAAGAAGTGGTTTATAAATTTTAGACTCCTGCCTCAGTAGCACTGAATCTTGAGCATTTATTTCTTTAGAAACTACTTTTGATAATTCCAATATTGATGATTTAATGTGAGTCACTCTGGAAATAGATAATGTAATTAAATTTGAATAAGTTATGTAACATTTAATTAGTTATACTTATGAATTAAAAATATTAAAGTTTATTTTTCAAGATTTGTATTGCATGTCAAAAAATAAAAAAATAATTAGCTGGCTAGCACAAATAATTCACATAGTACATTGTTTAGTGAAAAAATGGAAATTTGGCTGGGGTGGCAATCAGAGAGAACACAAATACAAATAAATTTTTTTTTATTACTTTCACTTACCTATATATGTTATACATAGTAAGGGAAAGTATTGCGATCGCGAAAATTTCCAAGTCTAAGTTTTCAAAGGAAATAAATGTTTTGAGGTACCCTGAATCCAATTAACTAAGTCCCGCAAAATGGTCTGTGTGTGTATATGTTAGCATTCTAGCTCAAAAATGAAAAGTCGTACGAAACTGATATTACGTATTTAAGATAGGTATATGCCTTAGATGTTAGCAACTTTTTCGTAAACATCGGCGAGGCGGATGTGCCACTTTATATCAACGGTGAAACACATTTTTACAATTTTCTCAAAAACCGCTCTACCAATTTTGATTAAACTAAAATGAAGTGGTCTTTAATATCAATCAGGTCTTATCCCCATTGATGTCACTTTACAGGGCTTAAATGACCAATGTTCATATACGTCTTCCTCTAAATTACCTTTAATATAGTTTATTTTAAATAATTAATCATCTCACATTGTTTAGAGTTATGACAAAATGCTAAATATAACTTTTGAAAGAATTTAATAATTGAATAAAGGAGAAAAATAAATAAAAATGCATATCCAGGTCGAAAATGAATCTCTGGAAATACTAGTCAGTAGGTATACGTATAATATATTGTTGGAAAGCGGAGAATGGAAAGAAAACAATATCTAATATAGAAAATTGTAGAAGGTATCGGAGAGTGGCGAAAAATATATAAATAATAATTTCTAAAAACTAACATTATTTAAAGTAAATCATATGTTTTCAAGGAAATTAAATGAAATTTACTAACTAAATGTAAACTTTTAAAATATTTTTAAGTTTGAAAAAGTATTTAAAATCCACCTAATCAAGGCAATACCATTGTTTGAAAGACTATTTCATTGCATTTGTGTGAAAGAAGAAGTGAAATATAAAATCATTTCATGGATGTATAAAGCATATGATTATAACCTTAAATACGTTTACTGTAGTTTAATGATTCTAGATCTGATATTATATTTAAATAATTAGGTATCAACATTCGTTTATTCCGAAAAATCGTCATCTAACTTTAAAAAAAATTAGAGAAGGAGTTAGTTGAGGGTGCGGTCAAATAAATAAAAAAATTAAAATATATAAATAATTTTAATTTTTGCCGACGTTTCGACCCACTTTGCAGGTCGTCTTCAGGGCTACAAATGTTTGTATTGAATGTTTGTATCTTTTGTAGCCCTGAAGACGACCTGCAAAGTGGGTCGAAACGTCGGCAAAAATTAAAATTATTTATATATTTTAATTTTTTTATTTATTTGACCGCACCCTCAACTAACTCCTTCTCATATCATATCAACGGTCAACCATCTCTACATCATTAAAAAAAATTAAATTAGTGAATAATTTGCTGAATTTTCTTTTTGTGAAATCCCAAAATTATTGTCTTCCGCTAAAGTATCATTAATTTGTTTTATTATAAATGATATCTATTTCACATCTTTAGGAATTATGAAAAAATGCCAAATATAACTTTTGAAAGAATTTGATAATTGAATATTGGAGAAAAAATGAAAAATATATATCTAGACCGGAAATAATAGTCGGAAAGTATAGTATAATATATCATTGGAATGCTGAGAATCGAAAGAAAACAATATCTAATATAAAAAATTGTAGAAGGTATCGGAGAGTGGCGAAAAATATATAAATAATAATTTCTAAAAACTAACAGTATTTAAAGTAAATCATATGTTTTCAAGGAAATTAAATGAAATTTTCTAACTAAATGTAAACTTTTAACATTATTTTTAGTATAATAATTTGAAAAAGTATTTAAAATCCGTGGATTCAAGACAATGACACTGTTTATGATACTATTTCATTGTACTTGTGTGAAAGAAGAAGTGAAATATAAAAATATTTCATGGATATGTTTACAACCTTAAATATATTTTGTGTATTTTGTTAGGGTTCTCAAATAACTCTAGATCTGATATTATATTTAAATAATTAGGTATCTATTGTCCGTTTATTCCGAAAAATCATCAAGTAACCTTTTATAAAATTAAATTAGTGAATAATTTAATGAATTTTCCCTTTGTGATATTCCAACACTATCCACTTCCAATTAGTGTGACAACTTTTGACCTGCCTATGACAGATAATGAAATCTCTTAATTCCATTTTAGCAAACTTTGCAATGGAAAATAACTGTTTAATAACTAATAGTCGTACAATCCATAATTAACCGGTGATATAATAAATAGGACTTTTGTTATGTTAATGGTATTTATGATTTTAGCTCGGTTAAAAATGCAATTAAAAATTTTTATAATAGCCCAACATGGCCAGAAAATAATGTCTAGTCAAATTTGAGCGGTAAGTGAAAGCTGTGTGTTGTGTGCACCAGATTTTGTTAATATTATTTTGGGACGATGTTTCGGCTTAAGTTCCAGGCGTTCATCAGACAAGAAAAATATAAATATAAATATTCAAATTTATATCTTACTTTATGGTATTCATAGTCCAATGTTTTTGTAAAGTTTCTATTACACGACTGATTTCTGCTTCATCCAAAATCCAATTCCCACATTCGAATTCAGTCAGGAATAAATTTAGTCCAATTGGATGAGCCATAGGATATTGAGGTTTTCTGAAATTACAATTGTTTAATAGTAAATAATAATGTTACAAAATTGGTACCAATCAACAATTAATGACTAAATAATACAACCCTAGAGAATTTAATTTATGATAAAAATATTCAGTTTCAAAACTAGCCAAGTAAAAAATGTTAAAAATAAAAATGATTGACTTTTTAAAAGTTTGATTTGATAAAAGCATTTTTCCTAAAACCAATTTCTTGATCCAGAAAAAAAAAACAACAATGAATTTCTTACCATAATTTTTAAGAAACCCACAGTTAACACAAATTTTTAGCAATTTTAGTGTCAAGTATTCAGCTTCAGATACTATTAATTCGATTACCCGAGGGGTTATAGGATTTAGTAAACATTAATTGGTAATTCCCACCTCAGACTAGGTCTTCTTCTACATTCAAATTCAGTTTCAACTACACTCATTACATAAAAATATCTGTTTCTGTATAGATATTTATTAAAAAACTGTAATTATAATTAAACCAGATGTGTCGTGTTCAAGTAACAATAACTTCAAAAAATAAAAATTTACCCAGCAATTTATATATTGAGCTAAAAACAAAATAAGAAATTTTAAAAGAAGATCTCAAACAAAAATAGTTGAAAAATTTAATAACCCAAAATCTTCATTATCAATCATTACTAAAAATGAGGTGTTTATTTTTCAAATACATAAAAAACAATATTACACATAATATCATTTTTTATTCAAGTTCATTAAAATATAATTTAATTTTACTACCCACTATATGAATGTGTATTCCAAATTCAATACAGAATTTAAGAATTAATTCTGAAATCAACTTCTTTATTTTTTTTTTTGTTCATCCCTTCCACGATAGGAGGGTTCTCGGGAGGAGGGTTGTTCTAGAGGTACACGTATTTTAACCAGAGTGGGAGGGTCGAGTTTCATTCTGTGAATCCGCCATGAAATAAAAGCCAACCCCTCCCAGACCAGATTCAAACCGGCATCACTAGGGCCGAGGGTGCCGGAATGCACTCCAACACACTCGGCCATCACGACCTCATTCTAAAATCAACTGTCAAAAATAAAGAGTACATGAGAATGAATACTATAGAAAAACTTAAAATCACTAAGATCAGACAAACTTGAAAATTCAGTCTCTTGTCGAGCTCTTGTTAATGAGGGACTACTGCAAATATGTTTAAATGTAAATATAACATAAATAAATTAAAAAATAAAACTTGAGTAGCACTATAAATTACCTTGGGTTTTTTGTGATGTCTAACAGGTCATTAAATACACATGGTTTCTCTAGTTTCCTTCCGATTAACAAAAGAACAGCGACAATGCAGCGAACTTGATGCCACAAAAAAGCTTGTGATTTCAATTCAAAAAAATACATGTCATACCCAGTACCTTTAAACATTAGAATAAAAAAAAAATGAACTGTTTTAAATTAAATTAAACAGGTGCAGTAAGATCACATGAGCACACTGTTCTTTGACAGGTTAGGTTAGATTACATTTGAGTAGTTTATTTCAAAAGTGAACCCTAATCATCAGAGATGGGCACAGGCGGATCTACGGGGGGGGGGGGCTTTCGGGCTGAAGCCCCCCCCCCAAAATGGTAAAATATAACTATGTTTTACAGAAAAAATATGATAAACTATCTCTTAAAGTAATCTTGTTCGTGTAATTACATTTAATAAGACTTCAAGAACCACTAAAACACCATTTCATATAGGTAGTTAATTTATTTCTTTTTTTTTTCAAATTAATTATCGTTATATGTATACGAAAAAAAAAATCTTTCGGGCTGAAGCCCCCCCCAAAATTAAATCCTGGATCCGCTAGTGGAGATGGGTAGCTATAAAAAATGTAATACATAAAACTAGATTTTTGTTATAAAAACTGTAAAATAAGATAAATTTATTTTTAAGTTTCATTTGAATAAAATGGTTAAAAAAAACAGGGACCTCTACAACCCATGAAGAGTCTTGTGTTCAGTACTTAGTAAGGAAGTACTGTTTATTGCTTAACGGTTGTGCATGGAGGTGATTTGACAGATAACATTCAACCATCAGGTTTTCTCCCTTAACCAATTGTTTAATTAAGGGTGCTCACTTTATAAAGGCTGTGTAAGACAATGAAAATCTCTTAATTCCGTTTTAATAAACTTTGCAATGGAAAATAACAGTTTAATAATTAATAGTCGTACAATCCATAATCAATAGATCGAACAATCCATAATTAACGGATCAAACAATCCATAATCAACGAATCGTACAATCCATAATCAACTGGTGTTATAATAAATAGGACTTTTGTTATTTTAATAGTATTTATGATTTGTTAGCTGAAATCTTTTAGCTTTAGCTCAGTTAAAAATGCAATTAAAAATTTTTATAATAGCCCAACATTGCCAGAAAATAATTTCTATTCAAAGTTGAGCAAAATTCAAAGAGTAAGTGAAAGTTGTATGTTGCGTGCACCAGATTTTTTATATCAAAGAATAATATGAAATGGTTAATTATTTTTAAAAAAATAAAGGTATTTTAGAGGAAGTTAATATTGAAAATTAGTTCAATGTTAGAGAACATCAATGAGAATAACTCCTATGTTATATTAAAAACTGCTTAAATAATAAACTGATATACTGAGTTTAAACAAAATCGTTAGAGCCATTTTTGAGAAAATTATAAAAATTTGTTAAATTGATTATATAATGTACCACTTCTAGTTTGCCGATTTAGACGAAAATGTAGCTGTAACAACCCAGGCTAATAAAAATCTCAGATACGCAATTTCAGCTTCATACAACAACTTTTCGTTTTGAGCTAGGCTGTACACATACACACACACAGACACAATAATAATTTCATTAATAATAAAATAACAATATAATTAAATAATCTTGTGGGGCCAAGGGAATGGGGGATGGCAGTACCTTTATCTAGGACTGACCTGAAGTATGGGTCCTCCCACTCTCCAACCCCAGGGGAACTGTCGAGCATAAGAAACTGTCTCTTCCCACGACAGTCTGTGCGTGACCTATATTGCATCCTGCCTGAGGTAGCCCTGCTTCTATCAAACATGGCGGATCTTGACCGGGAGATCATAAAAAATAACGTTGGTGAGGTGCAGCAGCCTCACTAGAACTGACATGGGGCCGAAGACACTAAGAGTTGGATGGGCCCATGAGCCGACATCTACAGGCGAAGCTGGTGACCAGTGGTCCGGCTGGAGAACTGCGACGGGACCACACCCTTTGAAGACCGTTGCAGTCGGAAGAATTCAATCGCAAGGTGTTAATAGCCCCATCACCCATCCGAGGCAGATAGAAAATAGGATTCCTCGCACTTACTTCCAATTACAGCTAAAACTAAAATAATCTTGTAATAAATTTTTTTTGTTTGGAGTGGGGTAGCTTAGTGGTAAGTCACTGATCTTCCTATGCTGAAGGTCTTGGGTTCGAATCCCGGCTCTTGGTAGAAAAATTATTTATTCTATTTCATTAGCCGTGGGGTGACCCTAAGATCAGGAGACTCCTGGGGCATGCCCAGCCTCTCTAAAGTGGGTACCCTTAATTAAATAATTAATTAAGGGGACAAATCTTGCGGTTAGCGTGATCTCAGTCAAATCACCTCCTTGCACAACCGTTGACTGAGAAACAGTACTTTTCCTAAGTAGTACTGAACCCAAGACCCTTCATGGGTTATAGTGTTTTCTTCATTTAAATTTGTTTAGCAGTTAGATACACCCCAACACTTAATAATAAAATAAATTTGAAATTTTTACAGTTGTGTATACAAAATAACTAACTAACTCCCTGGCGCTACAGGCCAGCATGACCCTTGGCCTCCTGAGTAATTTTTCTCCATTTCTCTCTGTCCTGTGCTACTCTCCACTTCCCTGCAGTGTAAAGTGTGTATACAAATATTATTTCACAAAATTTTCTGAAATGAAAACAGTTTGTTTTCACTATTATTTGCCTATAGGTCAATATAATAAATAACCACACTTAGTTTTTATTATTATTATTTATTAATGATAGTTTTGGGGAATCTTTACCTCCCTATTCAATACATTGGGATGTATTGAACGCTGCAAAATCGGGTGTTACAATTTATTGATAAGTTTGGTCAATAATTTAAGTATTCATTCACACAGATTATATTAACAAGTGGACATCAGATAATATCTTAAGATTACAGGCCATAATTATAATAATTAAACACCATGGTAAACGTAAACTTCTCTATTTCATACAAGTATATTAAAATATAATAAATGGAAGGATTTTGCTAATTATTTTTGTTTTATCTTCATTATAGGTGCATTATTAAGTTGGTCTTTAATTACTGTTTTAGTTTTTCATTTATTTTCTCAATTTAATAACTATTATTTCAATTGCGTTTATAGCTGCATAATTATTGTTATTTAAAGTTATTGTGTTCAGTAATTTGAAATATACTGCTCAAAACTGAATACGGATATTTATATTTGATGTTATTTTATTTGTTTTAAATAAAATGCCCTCCCCCCCTTTTTTTTGTACCTTAGTGATTCCTCTTATTTGTTGGTAAACATAAAAAGTAAACACCAAGTAATCTTTGTTTTAAATAAATTACTAACTAAAGGATAACCATCTTGAAGAATACTCGTTTTGTAAACCAACAATTGTTTTCGAATTTTCTAAATTTTAATTCAGTAATATTCTGTTTAACGAAGGAAAGACAAGACATCATATTGAACCAGAAATTTGCAATATTATCGTGGGAATGAGCGGTTAAGGGCACCGAATATTGCCAATGCAGTTGGCAACTCCCAGATTGTGGTATCCTGAGCTCCAGGCAGATTCAGAAAGTACCAATAGGACAGAGATGGGCAAATGCTACTCTGAGTACCTAGTACCAAGTATTTTACTCATATTGAATCACTACTTTAGTTTATCATATGTAATCAACTGAAGTAGTAATTTATTTTTTTGTTACTCAAAAAAGGTCAGTATTTGAGTAAAATACTTGGTGCTCAGTACTCAGAGTAGCATTTGTCCATCTCTGCAATAGGAAACCTATTGGAGTTATCTCAGTACATTATGGCACTTAGGGATGACAGAAATATTGGTATTACTGCAAGAAGCAACCCTTTTCATAGATGATCCTAAATGAAGTGTTGAATGTGAGCCACAGCCCATACCAACACAAACCATTCTTAATCATTTGTGGGAAGTTGGTCTAATATCTTATGCCCCATTAAGATGACGTACAGCAACAGTGCGTCGCCAATAACTCTGCAGATCATGGTGCAGCAAGTGCCTAAATGGGTGGGGAGCTTGGGTAGCCTTGGGGGCTACGGCGCTTGCAACAGTTAATCAAAGTTAAGTAACGCCGAGCGTGGCTTGCACTTGGATGGGTGACCGTCTGAAGCGCCAATCGACCCAACTTATTAAAACTTTTGGGGGCGGGGTAGCCGAATAGGCTAAAGCGCGTGCACAGCACCCTCTAGTTGCCTGGCAACCGGATAACAGAGATTTGAGATGATATAAAAAGTACGAGTTCGCATCCCGGTGCCGGAGGGGATTTTAAATTCCCCGCCCTCACCCCCCGGCCCGGGAAAATCCCGTATAGCCTAGAAGTAGGGAAGAACAAAAAAAAAAAGTGCCCAAATGGGTGGGCGGGGTGGCCGAATGGGCTAATGCGTGTGCACAGCACTGCCGTTATCAACTGATATATCAATCAAATGATATAAAAATAGTCACGAGTTCGCATCCCGGTGCCGAGGGAGTCTTTTAAATCCCCGCCCACACTCCCTGGCCCGAGAAAACCCCGTATAGCCTTAACGGCGAGGAAGGGGAGGACCCCCCCCAAAAAAAGTGCCTAAATGAGGATACAAATTTGATTGCTATTATGTTTACAGATGAGTCACGTTTCTGTACTTATAGCAATCATAGACACAGGGGATGTGTACACTGCCACAGTTTGTGCTTCCTCCAATGCAGTCTGGAGGTGCAATCTATTCAGAAGGACAGACTCTACTTCATATTGTGGAAGATAATCTTATTGGTATTCATTGTGTTCAAAAGATTAAAAAGGAGTACATTCCTCAAACCAGGAACAGCCTTAATTGGCTCAGATTTTCATTTTCTTGACGATAATATGCGACCTCATAGGGAAAACATTGTTTATTCATCTCTTGAAAATCTGGCCATTTCATATCTGCTCCTCCCGTTGTTGTCTCTGCATCTCAATCCCAATGAGCACACATGGGGTACACAGCAGAAAAGGTTTTTTAAACACCATTTGCTTCTTAAACTTCAGCAACTGAGAGCAGTATTACCATGTTTAAAGTATGAAATTCCTAGTGAAATCAATAACATCATAAAAAGTATGCTCAATAGGTGCAGAGAGGTAATGTCTAACAGAGGATATTACACAAATTATAAAATTCCACAAAATGTTTACAATTTGCAATCATAAAAACAAGATCAAATAGACATTTAATATTATTATTTTTTTTAAAACACCTTTTATGAAATTTTCTGAGGTCAAATACTATCTTATTTACATCAGTTATCATTTTATTTTATGATAAAAATAAAATAAAAATTCTAGTGAAAATAAATCATACATAACTAACAATACCCCTATTCATTTTTGAACAGAATAAAACTTTTATTATCGACATTTAACTAATGGAAAGTGATGATAAAACTAAAATGGCTGCAAATTTAAAAATATTACCTTGATAATGAAAATCCTCTAATTTTGATACAGCGGCATGATCTATTGTTCTAATAAAATTGGTGACACCATTACCAACATCCATTTTACAAAGATTTCTAAAATCGTGTGTCCCTAAAAGGTACCCTGTTCCCTCTTGCATAGCCTGGAAAAAATAAATGATAAAAAAATTCGCACAGCATATTGTTAAGTGATAAAATGGCAAATTAATTATAAAATAAAATAATGCAATGGATCATAAGATAAAGAAATCAATTGTTACTTTATTGATAAATATAATCGAAAAGGAAACTTTTTTTTTTTTTGGGCCTTCCCTTCCTCGCCGTTAAGGCTATACGGGATTTTCCCGGGCCAGGGAGTGTCGGCGGGGATTTAAAAGACCCCCGGCACCGGGACGCGAACTCGTCACTATTTTTATATCTTTAATTCATATGTCAGGTTGCCAGGCAACGGCGGTGCAGAGCACAAGCTTTAGCCCGTTCGGCTACCCCGCCCACCATCGAAAAGGAAACAAAACTTCATTAAAGTTTGGAACCTACAAATTTCAATAAGCTGTAACTTTGCTAAAAATTGTCTGATTTCGATGATTTTTTCCCCCCCTTTTGTAGCGAATTTAGTAACCTTTTTATAAACATGGGCATAACCAAGAAAAAAATGTGTAATTTTTTAGTTATTCGTAAATATAGTTTCTTTTCTTTCATAACTCGTATGCCTGAATTTTCAGGGTGATGGACTGTTTCGTCCGCTTGAAGGTAAAGGAAGCCTTCAAAATTGGTGGCTAAATCTTGGGATTTGGTGAAGAATTAATGATGATGTGGCCTGCCGATCAAAAACACCATTGATGAAAATATAAACTTCTCCTCTCTCAATCATAGGGACATCAAGTCGACGAAATGAGACATGTATTCAATGATAGTGCTACAATTAATGTAAGGTTGTGTGCATGCGAACCGTACGCCTTGCGTTATCTCGAAAATAGTACGTTTTTGGGCTTGAAAATGCAGAGCGGACATGGAAAAATATATCCTGGTCTTGCTGTATACATCAAAATCTTCAAAGCCCAATTTGTCCCGTATCGATCTACATACTTATCACCATTCCAATATTGAAGCCTAGCAAAATGTTTGCATCGACTTTATCTATTTTAGAAAGAAAAACAAAAGTGCAGAATACAATTCGCTAACCCCCCCCATGAAATTCTGAATCCAACAGTATCCCATTGATGGTATTTGAGCATGACAGGAGCTTATATTTGGTACAAAACCGATTTCGAGCATTATTGTAATTATATATGTGGAAATTTTTTAATAAAATTACTAAAAAATTAATCATATAAATTAAAAGATATTTTTAAATGAAGCTTGAAATGGTAACTTTGATCACCATCTAGCTCAAAAGTTTTTTTTTTTATTTAGACTGTTTTGAAAAACTAGTTGAAACAACAAAAAAGTTTGTTTAAGAAGTAAATTCACAAAAATTTAGCCTAAAAAAAAAATTAAATATTTATGACCACCACCCCGGACCATCTCCTTCCTTTGTAATCTAACTAGGAAAAAAAAGACAATTTTACAAAAGAAGACGTCCTCCTGAATATTCCATTTATTTTTGATTTTTTTCTTCAACCGGTTTCGGTCTTTTATCAGACCTTCATCAGGCTAGGCACAAAAAAACAAAAAAAAAAAACAAATTAAATTAACAACAACAATAAAACTAATTTAAAACCTAACAATTTAAAATCACATCTTAATAAATTAATCAATAAAAATGGTAATCACCAAACTGATAGTGGTCCTCCTCTCCTGCTTGTCGAATGGGGACTAAAAATAAAACTATTGGCCAGATTGGCTAGCCCTACCCCAATTTTTCAAAAAAGTCCATTCTTTTCCCTTTTGAAAGGGCATGCAACAGTTTTACCTTGCTACTTTAACTAAAAGAAACTCCATCCTATAGGTTACAAATTTAGTATAAGTGAGGTCTTTTATGAAATATAAGTCAATATTTATTGACTGCACAGAAGAATGAGTCCTGGCAGTATGTCTGGGGGTGCAGTGGTCGAACAGACTAATGCGTTTCAAAGTGTTGTCTGGCAACCTGATAACCTGAAGATTACAAGTTTGAACATTAATTCCCCTGTCATCCCATCTGGCCCGGGAAAAACCCTGTATAGATAAAAAGGCAAAGTATGATAGACAAGAAAAAAAAACAGTCCTGGAATAATAGAAAATATTGTTGATCCGACAATATATAATATTACCTCTATATCCAAATCTCCTTTTGGGAAGAAATATCTGTAAGTTCTGTTATTACAATTAAAGCGTGCACTGAATTCTTCCGCAACTGGTTGCCAACATATTACTTTAATATCGTCAGGCAATAACCTATTTAACATTTTACAATAATCTAAAGGGTTTTTTTCTTCATCAGAAGCTCGAACTGTTATAGAAATCACCTGTAAAATATCACAATGATTATTAGTTCTTTAAAATCTAAATAAATTACTGATTTTATATAATATATTTTACATTTCACTGAATCAATAGATTTTAAAAAAAAATTAAAATTAAAATCTGGTTTCTGGACTTTGAGGTAACTACTGAAATAAATATTCAATTGTACAATAGATATTTTTCAGAATATTGAGATGCACAATGATTAATGCTTCATTTTCAGCAGCATACTTTCCATAACTCCAAGTCCATTATTAAACTTCCCATTGCTTTCAAAAGAAAGCAATTAATAAAGTTTTAAAAGAATGATCATATAAATTCCTATGATTATAATGAACACTCAAAGATAGAGAAAATATATATATATATATTTCATGGGTGAGGAATCACTCTCCAAATGTTTTTGCATGATATTTATTAATCTAGCGCTAAAATTAATTAATATTAAACTATTCAAGTTATGAAATTTTCGAAAACAATAGAATTAAGCTGAATATATGTATGTGGGCGTCGGTATTCAGAGATAAAAAAAAAAAATAGCAACAGTAAAATATAAGGAATTGTGGATTCCATTAGCACTGCCTGACCTTATTACGGCCTCTATTGATAAAAAGATTCCATCCACACCTATGTTATATGTGAAACAAAGATAAAATAAAGGAAGGAGATGGTCCGGGGTTGCGGTCATAAATAGGCTAAATAGTGGTAAAACTATTTTATTTAAAGCCAAAAATAAAATAAATTTTTAACAATATAATAACATAATTCTAAAATTTTCTGAAAAAAGTCAAAATGTGGAGCAAAACGTTTTCCATTGATTAATCAATTGAAATTAACTTTATAATAAATATTAAGTTAAGCTAAATAATAAGCTTTGTAATGTAAAAAATAAATTAAAATGGAGTTATTAATGTTTGGTAGTAGATTCCTCATATAAAAAAATCACTTCATCATTCGAATAGTTTGTTTTATCAATGATTAATATCTAATATAATTAGAAGTAAACTAACATAAACTTTTTGGGCTACACTAAAGATTGATGAAGAATGACTGAATTCTGATGGTCATAAACTCCATGAACGCCACATCAAAACCTAGTCATTCCAGCTGATTAGTTGAAAACCATGAAATAATTTCAATTAATTTATGAAATAATAAATGTTAAATAAAAAAAGGGGGCAATACTGACTTGCCTGACTGAAAGAACTGACTCCTTTATCAGTACGGCCACATCGATGATAATTGCTAGTTTCCCTGGATTTAATCAAGCGACACTTCAGCAAAGCTTGAATTAAGTGATGTTCTATTGTATCTAATGTATCATCTTGACAAACATATCCTTGATAATCCCAACCAAAATAAACAAGCTTTAAAAGAATATGCGACCACTTGCATCTAAAAGAAAATACATTGTACATTTTATCACCATTCATAAACTACACTAAATGATATATATAATAATAAGTAATCTGTCAACACTACTTTAGAAGAGTTGGTACAAATCACACTATAAATGGTTTAAGATTTAGCTAACGCTCCTTTACTTATTTAGATTGATTTAAAACTTTGGTCAACAACAAACTGGTTCTTTTCAATTAAAATTGAGGCCCTAATTACATCGCAGCTTTAGACTAAAGCCAGATCAAAAGAGATAAACAAACTCCCAATGCCCTTTTCAGTTGAAGTCATGGGGAAAGGGGCCTTACTAGACAGTTATCACCTCCCTTTGTTTTCATATACACTCGGAATTTCTTTTACAATGTGATTATGAGATCTTGTGTCCACCCATAAAAGTGGAATAACACTTGTAGAATAATACAGAATACGCTATTCAAGATTTTTAAAAGAAAAATTAAAATACCTGGAGAAATCAAAATCATTGTTCTTCCTATGATCATGATCATGTTTTTCTACTCCGCAATTCTTTGAAATGATAGCTTTTAATTGTTCATTGTGAGCTTGTAATTGCCGAATAATTTCTATTAATTCCTTCAAAAAATAAAATAATAAATCTAATAATGCATTCTGAAGTTAAATTATAATGAAATACTACTAGGAATAAATATTGTGAAAATATAAAAAACATTACTTCCTGAGTTTTGCTCTGCAAGGATTCTATATCAATTTTTTTATTCTTTGAAGGCACATATTTAGTTTCGGGGACTTCCATTCTTTATTTTAACAGTTAAATTCTGAATTTCATAAATAAACTCGCAACGAAGATGGAAATTATGTGAGAAAAACTTAATAAATCCTTCAGTCAAAGTTGAAAACTAGAACACAAAACCTGTTGACCAACGTACCACCAATCTTGAATGATTAGATCACTTTGTTATAAAGCCTGACACTTGGCCAAGGAGGTATTAATAATAAGAAGAGAGCAAAAAGTACAGAATAAATAGAGTGACCTTTAGAGAATGAGTGTGGGCTCACTTTTTCCACTCTCATAATATCCCAACTGATCTAAGATGTTATGTTATCTGTGTTATTTTGTACAACTATTTCTGATTTTTAATTTCAGTTTTTCCGGTAATTTTATTATCTCTTTTTTTTTAAATAGTTACGTGTAAAGATTGAACTCTCATTCAAAAAATGTAAGGTTTGAAATCTGAATTTATGTGTAATTTCCAACCTAACATTAATTTTAGAAGTTTCTCTGATATAGTTATCAAAATTATTAAAACTTACGACCTTCAGAAATTCACATTGCTCCATTCAGTATTTTGACGTTAAGGAGAAAACAGGCGAACATCAGATTACCGAAGTATTAATATCGGCCATGAAAACATCGGCTTCTGTTCTAATTGGAAATGGTCTTCAATGCCTGATGAAATAAACAACTCAAAGAGCAAATTGGCCGACGAGAAATTTTCAAAGTGAAAGAGCTGCAAGTTTACAGCGATTTCTTGTGTTAGTAATGTTTGCTACATTGTCTGTTTTCCAATAAATTTTCAAGTTCTAATTGCTAAAAAAAATTAGTTTGCAATCTTTTTGTACCATTAATACAAATTTATTGTTCTCATGTTTTATTTATTTTAATTTTTCCTTTAAAAATCTTGAATAGCGTATTCTGTATTATTCTACAAGTGTTATTCCACTTTTATGGGTGGACACAAGATCTCATAATCACATTGTAAAAGAAATTCCGAGTGTATATGAAATGTATGTATATTTGTGGTGTTTGGTGAACTAAGATATGTGAGTAGGACGTTCAATCCTACGTCACACCCTCCAGCAAGTCTGGATGGATCTCCCTAAGGTAAAACGCTCATTATCCGGAGGTAAACTAGTTCCCCGTTCGGGTCTCCGGGCGGGGACTGCTTTAGGGGATTCATGGCGCAAGTTGAAATATAGGGATTTAAATGTTGATACGTGGAACGTAAGGAGTTTAAACACAGCAGGGGGGCTAAAATCGGTCGCGAATGAGGTAAATGGGTACAATTTGGATATCGTGGCTCTGCAAGAGGTTCGCTGGCCAGGGGAGGGCTCGATGAGGGAAGGAAAGTACACTATTTGGTATGGAGGAAGCGGGAATCATTGTTTAGGTACCGAGTTTCTAATTAGGAGTAGGTTACTATCCGCTTTGAGGGACGTACAATTCTTTAGTGATAGAATTTCGGTAGCTATATTTCAGGGACTTTGGTTTAAAATCGCATTAATAAACATACATTGTCCGACCGAAGACAGTGGCGATGAAGTCAAAAGTGGATTTTACGATAAACTCAAATGGGTTTATGATAAACTACCGCGAAATTACATGAAAATAATTGTAGGTGACGCGAACGCAAAGATAGGAGGGGAACAAGTTTATATTCCGACGATTGGTAAAGAAAGTTTGCACGAATATAGTAATGATAATGGGATCCATCTGATAAACTTTGTCATCTCGAAAAACCTGATAATTAAAAGTACGACGTTTAAACATAAGGATATTTATAAATATACTTGGACATCACCGGATTCGCAAACACGAAATCAAATCGATCATGTCTTGAAAAAACATAGCTGGCAAAGCAGTATAATTAATGTACGGTCTTATCGTGGAGCAGAATGTGGGTCGGATCATGAATTAGTAATCGTGAAACTTCGACAAAAACTTAATATTAAAAAGAGAAAAGAAAACCGCTTCGATTTTGAGAATTTTAATTTGGAAAAATGAAAAAATTCCATCAATTAGAAACCAATTCGAGCTAGATGTTAAGAATAGGTTTGGAGCTTTAGAGCTTCCTGACGAAGACCACGAAGATATTGACAAGTTATGGGTAGAGATCAGGGATAATATTAAAGCGGTCGGTAACTCGTGTCTAGGAAAAAAGGAAAATAAGAATAACAAACCGTGGTTTGATGAAGATTGCTTAAACATGTGCGAAAAAAGAAAAGCCGCTAAATTAAAAGCTCTAAATAATCCTAGCGAAGACAATCTGGAATACTTCCGAACCTCAAAGAACGAAACGACAAAATTGCTCAAAAATAAAAAAGGGAGTATCTTAAAAATAAAATAATTGAAATAGAAACTAATAGAATCGAAAATAACGCAAGAGACATGTACAAAGGTATAAACAGATCACGTAAATGTGTAGGACCCGTAACGTCTGGCATTGGGGATGATAATAACAATATTCTGTCCGATCCGGTTGACATATTGAATAAGTTTAAGGACCACTTTGACAATATTTTAAATACGGGAAATTATGATCTGTGTCCTCCTTCTAAGTACCAGAGTGATGAACCGTTAATAGAAGGAGCAAGTAAAGAGGAAGTTGAAGTAGCTATCGGAAAATTAAAATCTTATAAAGCAGTGGGAACCGATAATATTCCAACTGAACTAATTAAGGCATGCGGGGAAGCTGGAGTTTCTAAAATACATCGGTTGGTTAAAAAGATCTGGGTGAATGAGAAATTACCTGAGGAATGGAAAGAATCTATTCTTATTCCGATACACAAAAAGGGACCGAGGACGGATTGTAATAACTATCGAGGAATTTCACTCCTTCCGGTATGTTATCAAATATTCACTTTAATCTTAACTAGTCGAATCACGGAGTACGCCGAGGAAATTATCGGAGACTTCCAATGCGGATTTAGACGGAATCGTTCAACTATTGATCAAATATTTTCTTTACGGCAAATATTAGAGAAAAAATTGGAGTACAACGGTATTGTTCACCACTGTATATAGATTTTAAAAAGGATTACGATTCTATTGACCGCCAGAAACTGTATAATATTCTAATCGAGCAGGGGATTCCAAAAAAACTAATAAATCTAGTCAGGATGTGCTTGACGGAGACACTCAATAAAGTTAGAATCGGTAATAATCTGTCGGAAAAATTTGAGGTTCGGTCGGGTTTAAAACAGGTAGATTCCCTTTCGCTTGTCCTTTTCAATTTGGCATTAGAACAAGCCATTAGGGTGGTAATGCGTACCGAGAAAGGGTTGGATCTGGGTGGGACAACATCGGTGCTGGGCTATGCTGATGATCTGGCAGTGTTAAGCGAAGACGTTGAAACTATAAAACTAAATACGACAACGTTAATGAAAGCCGGTAAAGAACTAGGACTCGAAATAAACGTGGATAAAACAAAATATATGGTTAGCTGCAAAAATGGTGATACTACTGGTTATATCGAAATAGATGGTAATATGTTTGAACAGGTAGATAAATTTAGGTATCTAGGTTCTACGATAACTAGAAAAAACGAAATTGAAGAAGAGATTAAGGTCAGACTGAAGGCGGAAAATGCTTGTTATTTTTCTGTGACAAAACTACTTAGTTCGCGCCTCTTGTCCCGGAACTTAAAAATTAAAATCTATAAAACAATTATCTTGCCTACAGTTCTTTAAGTTTGCGAAACTTGGCTGCTTACATTAAGGGATGAGCAGCGTCTTAAGGTTTTTGAAAATAAAGTATTGCGTAGAATATTCGGACCGAAGAAGGATGAGTTAACCGGAGAGTTCAGATGGTTACACAACGCCGAATTGCGTGAACTGTATCCGGGTAATATAATTGAGGTAATTTCATCGCGGCGAATCAAATGGGCTTGTAAAGTTGTTGGGTTTAGTAACGAGAGAATTTCTAAAAGCTTAATATTTGCTATGCCAAATGGTAAGCGTCCGAGGGGTAGACCGAGGCAAAGATGGGAAGATTGCATTAAAGCCGATCTGAAGGGACTGGGTTTGGACGGCGAACGGTGGAGGGAGGTGTGTAATAAGGGATTGGTGGTGTCGCCATCGAACCTTCGGGTTCGCTAACACTTTTATCATTATTATTATTTCATTTTCAAAAGCAATATATTACCTTTAAAATGATATAAAAGACAACCTAAAGTCTTATCTACGATTTTCGATAATTTACAAAAACTTCATTTTTTTTACAAAGAATATATTATCATTCTTATAAATCTTATTAGCATAATAAGCTGTTTTCAGGATCATGATGAGTGGTAATGATCATCCTCCAGTGACCTCTGACTTTGATACCACCTCTGAAAACATTGGGTTCAGTAGTCTCATTGAAAAGTTGCAGCAGATGGTGTGCTAAGGACAGACAGAATTTTTTATTTAATTTGATTCGTAAATTCTATATAGCTTGAAATGCAAATCTTCAAATTTTGAGAATATCTTTTTTTCTCTTGGTCTATGTAAAAATATGTGATATGCAATTAAGTAATACATGCTGGAAAATGTAAAAATAATTCTGAAACGTTAAATAAGTAAAGGTTTATTTTTTTCACACAAAAATAAAAAATAAATTTCTTTTTATTGGTATATAATCTGAAAATATATGCCAAGGCAAAAAAAAGGATAATTTTTTTTGTAATTAAATAACATTTATTTTCTTGGCTCATAAGGCAATATTTTTCAACATAGAATCACAATGGCTACATATCAAAGGTGGAAATCCATCATTTTCAGAAAGTGGTGAAAAAGTCATTTTTCATTTTATTGTCAATTTCCTCAAAGTTTTCGATGATTTTATTAATTAATGTTCAAGTAAAATCAAGAAAAAAAAAATCATTAGAATTGGTTTCAACGTAAGCTGTTAAGAAAATTGGCTTTATCTAGACTTTTTAAAAATGACAGATATCCTCCTTTAATATGAGGTCACACACACACACATATATAAAAGGTTGAAATGAGTGACCCGGTGACACGATGAACTTACCTAGTTAGATAATTTCGGCATTGAATCGATGATATGTTGCTTATTGTCATCACTCAACTTATTTTAATAAGGGTTCTTAGAACTTTTTACTATAAATATGCATGATATTTTGGCATGGATAGAAAAAAAAAAGCGTTTATATTATGTCTAAAGGTAGGCAGATAAGGATGGAGTGTAATGTAGTAACAAAATGTGCAGCAAGGTACAATATTTTAAATGCCTCATTAATTATTCACTGAGAAAAAGGAATAAAAAAGTTAATAAGCCTAGGTTTGTTTTTTCTTTATTGTATTTTTTTTTGTAACAAATGTTTTTATTTATTGATGTATCTAGTAAATCAACACAATTAAGTTATTTAACTGTTTCTGAACAGTCACATCAATAAGGCTTTATAATAAATAATATAATATTAGTAGGATAGGAATAAATAAAATTAAATAATTGTATTTACAAAAAACAACTCATAACAAGTATATTTATTTTCATTCTAATTTTTTTCTAGTTCACTTTCGCTCAACAAGTCAACAGAAAAAAAAGTTAACAAAAATATGATTAACATGTTATATACAATAAATATATGTAAACAATTGCATCATTTTAATGAACCCTTGCCAACAAGATTTCAAAATATAATCATTTCAGTTTAATAAGTAACATAAAGAGATTACTCATATAAAATAAATTTTATACAAAAATAAATCAAAAAATTCTTGTTTTTAAAAGTATAATATATTTAAGTAGTAAAGAGTTAGCTAACCTACTACTTTTACATTTGATAAAATAGACATTTGTTAGTGTTTTATTATAAAATGTACCTTTTAAATTTTTAAAATAGCAGTCAACAATGCTAAGTAGCATAAATCAACGTGTTAGTTATCTACGTTTTCTTTAAAGCTAATTCATTATTACTTAAAACAAACCAATCCATAATTTAATGAGTCTACAGAAAATCCTAAAAATCTAAAACGAATCAGACCACATACTTTGGTGAAATGAGAGCATATATGAAGACAGTATTATTTAAATTACAATGTTAGGGTAACAATTAGTCACTTTTTTAAAAAAGATAAAATAGAAATTTGTTGTCTTCAACTAATTATAGATTATTAAAAAAACAAAAAAAACACCAAACAAGCACAGAATAAACTATCACTACTAAACTAAGTTATCAACATACTTAACAACTTACAATAATCAAAATAATCTTATAACAATTTAAACCAGTTTTTCTTTGTTGTTTTTTAAAAGTTACTTTAAATGCTTGGTAAAGGTGTCAAATGGAATACAACTTTACAACATAAAAAAACAGCAACAACAAGAAAAACAAATGATCAATAATTATACTATAATAGCTTTCTTTAGCTGTAAGTGAAAAAAAAAAAAAAAGTAAATAAAAGGCCCCAAGGAAAGAATAATCTGATACAATTTTTTTCCTCTCTTCTTATGAGTGCTGAAATGTTTTACGGTATCTTACAAGCAAATAAAACTTATGGTAAATAAAAATTACGGTTTGATAAAAAATAATTTTAATACAATATTACAGAGAAGAAGAATGGTTACAGTCAATAGGTACTTGGGGAAGAACGATCCAAGTATAAACTTCAAAAGTGTACTAGTACTAGTTAGTTAAATTTTAATAATGATGATAATGGGATTTAAATTCTGAGTAAAATATTTGCCTAAAATCATACTTTAACCAACTATAACCATTCTTTTCCAAGGTTCTATAAAAATCTATCTTCAAATACTAATAAGTACTGTACTCGTTTTAATAAATACAAATGATAATATCACAAAAAAATTTGAAGTTGGATAATTTTAATTCCGATAACAAAAATAATTAAATCATAATCAATACAGTTAATTTAGTCCATTATTTTAAAAATAATACAGTTTTATTACATAATACAAATATTGACTTTGAAATAAAATTGATTTAAGGAAACCCATTAAGATTTATTACAGTTTATGGCGATTGTAAAAAACTAGTAACAAGTAATGATTTTTCTGAGCAATATTATAAATAAATTTAACATTTCTGTAAGTTAGAATATAATACCTAAGGCACAATGACATTATCATATTTGTTTTCTCATACTAATACTGTGATAATCTATCATATAAGAATAATTTGCATATACCGTAATTAAGGGCTAGTGACTAAACTCAGTGCTAATTTCATAGAAGGAATATATCAATCGATTTAATCCGGGATAATGGATTAAATAATAATGATATAAACCCACTGAATTGTCAAATCTCAGATATATACACATATATAAAGTAAATTTAATATAAATATGTAAAGTAAATTGAGAAATAACAACAATGAGGTTACATCCAGTGGATCCATCAACCCCAAAAGCCGATGGAATCGCTGACTCATCAGTGATTCAATCTATGAATAAAGGAACATGCTGAATTCTATTTATGAATTCATCAATGAGTTTAGGTACTACCCACACTTGAAGATTTGATATTGCTGCCATTCATAAAGAAAACGAGTATTATGACAATTTCATGACCTGATATTTTTATAGAACTAAAAAAAAATAAATTATAACAAACAATACAATGTTTCAGTTCAGCATTACTAAGCTATAAATTTTCAAAATATACAGATTCATGAGAGTTTACTATAGAACTTAAAACAAGCATTAATAAGTTTTAAAAATAATGATTTCTACGTTTGTGGCCCCAACTCTTTAAAATAGAGGTTCCCAACCTTAAGTACCCAAGTTTCTTAAGTAACCAAACAATAACATACAGACAAGTTTGTCTATTGTATAATATTGTTGGTAATACTGGGAGCAAGAAATCTAACTTCAAATAAGTTTCTTTAATTAATAATTAATACCTCCTTAACTTGGACATGAATCACAGGTTGAGAACTACTAATTAAAAATAATCCAGTACATGTTTAATTTTCTATAAAATGATAATACTACATATAGTAAATATTGTTCATTTCAATTTGTTATTTTGAAATAATAAAGACCTTTTCCCATTAGTATAGTAAATAATAGGAGAGGAGGATTTTAACTACTAAAATTTTATAGAAGCACAAAAAAGTTATTTTTACCATTATAATTAATTTTACAACTGCTATTGGAAAAAGTGCTTTTAATTTTGATAAATACGCGTGTATTAGAAATAACTAACCGAAAGCTAGTTCATCATAAACTTATTGACAACACAATTATACCCATGATCTATCATGAAGTAAGTTTAGTCCTTAAGCCATTCTAGAAGGGAGCAAGCCAATGGGGTGTTCGCGTTATGAGCTTCCCAAATAGTAAATTTTAGTTAATACAATAATAAAACATTAAGAGACTAAACTGAATGAAATTCAATTTTATAGGACAGAGGTCCCGTCCCCAAGCTCTTTTCATAAGTAGGGATATTTATAGGTTATGTGTTAGGTAGTGGCCATCGAGATATTTTTCTTTTATAATGCAAGTGGTGAATGTGGATTGCAAGTTCACTGTTTGTAATATTTAAAAAGAAAATGAAAAGGATATAAATAAAAAAAAAAAAAATACGTTTCGTAACAAACTATTTAATTATTATTTCCAAAACTGGCAGAGTTACCAACTGTATCATTGATTTTTTTTTTTGTACTTCCAAATAAAGATATTATACAAAACAATAGTGATGTTATTATATCAATAAATAAATAATTATTTTCAAATAGTCACATATGTCTCCACGAATTTTATATGTATGTCTCATTTAAGAAAAATATCCTAAAACATCACATTGAAAACTCGTTTATCTGAAAGTCCCAAGTAAAACAATAATAATGATTTTTAAAAAAACAAAATGCCATGATATTATTAAATCATAATTTTCAAAGTAATTCCTCGTACTTGTAAATAAAATATTAGATATTTATTAAAATATGTATGGTTATTTTATTGAAAACTTGTCGATCTGCAGAATACAACAGTAAAACTGTTATCAGGGTGATTGGCAGTAAAGCCTATATTAGACATGGGGTGGCACACTTTTGCTTGAGGGTGCGAGTGGCATCGACGCAACTCTAGGTTGGGGACCCCTGTTATAGGGCACAAATTTGCTGCTAGGCATATAACAGAAGATTATTAGATATAAGAGTAAAATCTTACATTTTTTAGTATATTCAACGAGATATTTCACTGATTTGTAAGTACTTATGGAACATTGTTCTGAATAAGTAATTCATTAAAATCAACATAAAACATCATCATTCATGTTAATGCAACAAAAATTTTCTTACAACTAGAAAACATTTTTTTGGAAAATGATTGTTGATAGTTGTTCTATTTATTTTTATTATTAAAGATAATTTAAACCATCTTTCTATTTTTAGTGATTTTCAATAAATAAAATATTGGTATGTTCTAAATAGAATAACCCCAAGAACCAGTTGAATATAACACATGTTTTACAATTTGGCTCCTGTAGCAGTAAATACAATAATTCATGAGCAGTTTATAAAAATATTTTTAAAACTATAATCAATTTATTGCTTACTATTTAAAAATAACTAAAAACTAGTTTACGAAAAGGCATTGAGTGCAACTAATTACTAATATAAGTAAGTATATGTATATATACAATGTCACACTGAAAGGAGGAAGTTTCAACAGGAAGCACTAAAACAATTAACTTCTAGAACCAATTTAAATAATTTATAACTTGAACTAATCTAAATTAAGCTCATAATGAAGCATTGAAAATATACATTTATCACATATGAAGACGGAGAAAGTTAGGAAAAAACCATCATTAATACTTTTTACTAATTTTTGGAACATTATTTTATACTAATTCACTTCTTCATTAAACATTAGGTTTTGAATAAGAAGCAAACTAAAAGGCACAAAAAGAGGAACAAGAGGTGTAAGTAGCGAACTTATTGTCGATAATATACTAAACAATAATCTAGTTAAGATTTACATTTTACGAAATTGTTAACAGTCACCGATCAAAATTGATTAAATACTAGATAACAAAAGAAAATCTTCTAAAAAAATATTTGGGAAAACCAAGCATCGGGATTTATGAAGTTTCATTAATCCCAAGAGTAATATTATTCAATATTCAGATTAAAGAAAAGTAAGAATTAATTTTTAAACAGAATAAAAAACATGGAAGTATAAAAGTTTTCAAAGATAAATAGATAATTTTTAAAATGAAAATTAAGTCAATTAAAGAAATAGATTAGTTGGTATTTTTACTGATTTTGAGGTTTTAGATTAATCTATTGTAGAAATTAAAAAATAATCACATTAAAAAAAAAGAAATTAAAAATAATTTGCAGACGGATCACATTGGTTTTATGTAAATGTATCATGTAATAGCTAAAACAATGAGTTCTGGTCCTATAAAAAATAAATTTGTCGTAACCAAATTTACACAATTAAATACTGTCCAAAATATTTTTATATCGTTAAAAAAAAAAAAAATTATATCTATTTACCAAAAGTAGTGTAACAATAGTGAAAAAAATTAAGGTTCTTTTGTGGAGAAGAAGAAACAATTCCTTTTTGGGAGAAAAAATTAGAATATGAGGAAAAATGTCTAGAAATGGTAAAAAAAAGATTCTTAGTTGGCCTGTATCACGATAAATAAATAATACAGCAATATTAGATGAAAAGCAAAATGAGTAATTTCAGTAAATAAATATTTTAATCCAGGCTAAAAATTTAAAAAATGCTGAAGTATAGCATCTTTAGAAAGTTGAAAATCCTAAAAGCTTATCCAACAGTTTTAATACTAACAATTACATGATGAGAAACATTAATTTTAATATCAGCGATTAAAAGGATACGAGTGGTCTGGATGAAGCTTTTGTGAAAAAAAATATGGCTGAATTTGAAAGGTTGGGAAGTAACTTATTTATTTGAAAATGATAAGTCCATAGAGATTATATTAACCGCTATTGTTATTGTTATTAACAGCAAACACAAAAGATCATCGGATAAAAGAAGCAAAATAGATCATGCAGGGATGATCGATCTGAATGTATTAATTTAAGGAATCAAATATTGGTTTGTTGAAGAAAAAGAAAAAAATAGCTTAATGAATTAAAAAAATAAAACAACTCATGAAACATTTTAAAATAATCTTTTTTAAGGGCATTTCTTATTCTGCATTTGTTTCACTTTAATATTAATATTAAGTTAGTATAATTCCTAAATAAACTTTAGTATAATTATATAAATTAAAGAAGGAATGGCTTCAGAAATTTTTAAACTGTAATACTGAAATGTAAATGCATATAAATAAAAAATAATTTAAATGTGTATTACAGTTTTAATGGTATATTTGACTAGCTGTAACTTAATTCAATAATAATGAAATAAACTGGTTAAGTTAAATAGTTAAAATGTACAGCCTTCTTATATTTTCTAAAATATATATTCTGCTTCTGTTTAATAAATAAACAGAGGGAAGACTAAATTTTCAATAGTATTTATCTTTATAAAATATTAACACATTTTATAAAGTAAATATGTACACAAATGTGCATGAGTATATACACTAAGGGATATTTTTTGAAAAATAAGCCAAATAAAACTCCACCAATAGTCCTTCTTTAAGCAAGTCATTATTATCATTGAACCATAAATAAAAGTTAGTAAAAATAAAAAAAAATCTTCATTATTTTATATATTAATGAAATAATATAATATGATATAAGTATTTTAATCTAAAACTGCAAATCTTTTATGGCAATAACGTGTATATTACTAATTAGAAATATTAGGTAAATAAGAAAAAATGGATAAGTTTTTAGAAAATTCAATATTTGTTTATTATTAAAAAACAACAACACAATATTAAAATTATGATTAATAGAAATCATTAAAATGAAGTTGGCTTAGGTCTATCAACTAAACCAAAATTCCTTTTGTTGTAATAAATAAAAAATTTATTTTATTTATGGCCTCAATGATTTAAAAATCAAATTACTTCACGTATAATTAATGATAATATAAGACAAACTCAAGAAATTAGACTTAATAAATTTATATGTGACTCCATCATATTGCGTAGAAATAAGTTTCATATTTTTTTTAATTGGATGGTAATAAGCCCCTACCGGATCAAAACAAAAAAAGAAGAATTAAACATAACAAAATTCAGCATAGGACCAAACAAACAACACCTTGTTCTTTCATTTTTGCTGTTTTTTTTATCCCCATTCGAGAAGTTGACATTTTTTTACCAGACTTCCAGAAATGAAGCTTTGCCCAATTTAGCTTCCGCTTGCCCACAGTTGACAGCATTTACTCCTAGTGAGAAAGGACATTGAAACGTGTTTTAGTTTACTCATCCTAATACATATGTAGTAAGTAGTAATAGAAATAATTTCTGACTGAAGTAAAAACGATGTAGAGAAAAAAAAGAGAAATCCGTGAACTGTAGGGATGGCGAGGAATATAAAGATCTTTTTCTGGTCTTCCAGCAGCACTCTGCCTTTCTTTAATTTTAGAAACATATAATAAATATGTGTTATCTATATGAATACTTAAAAATATATTTAAAATGTTTTTATAATGTGGAAAAGACCTCAAGGGAATTTAAAAAAAAAATTTAGATCACTGAGAGAATCCACTGTATACGCGTGATTCTAGCTCTAAAAAAATGCATTTATCATTTAATACAATCAGGTTTGCAAGAGTTCAATGAAAAAATATAATAATGTTGGAATGATTTATAATATAATTGTCTTATTTTCTATTTTATTTTGGAGAATCACACATATAAAACAGCCAGTTTGAACATCCTTGATTTAGATCAAATTATGTTATTTATGTGATAATATGATTACACATATTTAAAAATCAAATGAATTTTAGTAATCCTAGATGTAATTAAATTGGTGACAAGATATAAACCTTCGAAACATAATACTGACAAATGTTTCAAATTAAGTTTTAGTTGCCTCCTAATAATAATCACAAGAGTAATTAAAAATTAATCTGAATATTGAGTAAAATATTACTCATGAATGGGCAATATGTAATCTATTTATTTTGTTTTTGTATAATTAGCAAAATAGATAGGGTTTTTAGACTGAGAAGAAGCAGCATAAAAATAAATAAATAAATAGAAACTCGAGCTCTTATAACTTAAGGTCTAATAGAAAAAGGTTCACGAATCGGTAATGGCATTGTTTTGAGAAAATCTTAAATTTTAAGATAATCAGGTAATAGCAGGAAAGTATAGAAAGCAATAGTCATTGCTGATGTAGGTTGGATTTTGTTTATGAAATGAACTGAATATTCATTAAAAAAAAATATAAACAATATTACAAACCTTTGACTTTGAAATATGATGTAAAAGAAAACGAAGAATGTAAAAGAATGATAAAATTATCATAAATATTCAAATTAAAAACATATTTGAAAGGCAAAGGTAGATGGTAAAATAGTATTTTAGAATACTAAAAAAATAACAGGAATACAGAGCATATTAAATAATGATAAATCAGTAAGAATATATCTTTACGGAATTAAGATATAATATTTTAATTATTATTTATTCATAAAAACTAAAAAAAAAACACAGAATAATTGTTTGTTTTAAGCAAATAAACGAGAGCAGTTTAATTAAATGATTCTCAAATATATTTTATTTCTATTCCTGCCCAGAAATACTTAATAGATTTTTATCACAGACAAAACTTTCAGTCAAATGAAGAAGATTTATACACCTGATATGCGATTCAATCTACTTTTAAAACTAATTGATTTCATCAAATAAATTCTGAAAACTGAGAATTACAAGAATTTAGTCTGTATGTATGAAAGACATATGATGATTATACATAAAACTATATTTTAATTAATAAATAAAACAGATTCCATAACTTCCTAGTGAGACTTCTTAATAATGACTGTTTGATACAAGTTTTTGGAGTATTATAAATATTAAATTAACTAAATAATTTTTTTAAAAACAAAAATAAATAAAATTGATATCCTCAACCCGCAGATTACTTTCAGATAACAAAAAATAAATATTAACAAATATTAAAAATAAATTTCCAAAAAAACTATGCATCAATGTAATTGATTAATAAAAACTTTATCTGTTACATGTTTCAACCATGTATATAAATGAAAACAAACCAATTTTTTAAAATTTAAAAACAAAATATATTTTGATTAATATCATAATCCTATTATTATAAAAACAGATATTGATATTATTAAGTATTTACATGAAACGATTAAGATGAGCATCTCTTTGGAGAAAGTAGTATCTTGTCATTGGCACTGTTGTCAATAGAATAAACTCCCGTCAGTACAATATCTCCGGTTGAAATGGTTTGGGAAGCTGTAGAAGACTTTTCGTTCATCGATGAATGGCAGAAGCAATGACATTGATCTGGACTTCTAGCAGAACTAACAGCCGATGTAAGGAGAGCTTCCAATCGCTCCATTTTATCTAAACGATCCATTCCGGTGTTAGCCAGCAATTCGTCCATTAATTGCATAGATTCTGTCAACGAGCGAGGTTCTCCTGATTAAAAAAAATAAATAAAATATTACTAATATTGAAAACAGATCATTAATAAAAATTACAGAAGTGAAGAGAGAGGAAAGCAAAATAGGCAAAGATAACTATGACAAAAAAAATTCTAAATATTTTCTAATCTTAATGAACATATTCTTAATAATTTTTGGTTGAGAAAAACCAATATTACTACTGTTAGTGCAAAAGGCCGTATGTCATTTTTTTTTTCTTTTTAATAAAAGAACATAGAAATTGATATTTTTTTAATGATTTATTAGTATGATTTCATATCTTATTTACTGTACTATACTATTTTCCACAGTAATAGACTACAAAATCTCACCTTTAGTACAAACAGAACTAGCATAGGAAATTGTTACACACGACCTTTTGCACTAACAGTAGCGATAGGACAACTTTTTTTATAAGCTCCTGTTTTTAGGTAATATGCATAATTAATACATATAGCCAGTTCATTTTTTAAGAGAAATGAAAAAAGTCGCATTGTAATTTCTTGAACAAGATCTGTGTCTAGTAATTCCATGATGATTTACATCATCAGTAAACAAAAATACAAAAACAGCTATTTTTGAGAAAATAATATTTTCTTTGTTGCTAATTGTAATAAAAAAAAAGTCGAGTATTTTTTAAAATTTTCAATTTTTTTTAAATTCTAAAAGTTATTACAAGGCAGTTTATTTCCGAAGACATACATATATCTCGACTGTGTTTATACACTTAGTAGGAGTAAGAATGCTAACAAAGGCCTGAACATTAGGCTGAAATGTCAGAACAAAATAAAATAATTTTTTTAATATTTTTATTTTGATTTCTCACTGACTGCAATCCCCAACACTATACATACATATATTTTTTCTTTTTATAAATTGCTACTAAGAAATAAAATGGTGGATGGTAATCTAGTTCCTAGGATTATTCTAGGGTGCCCTATGACTTTTGTGCCATATATATATATATATATATATATATATATATATATATATATATATATATATATATATATATATACACACACACATATAAAATTAAAAAAATGAATCCTAGAGCCTTAGATAAGACTAACGAACAGTAGAAAAACTTTCTTTTTTTTTAAAATCCGATTTTGTATTATTGATTGTGATGATATAGTAATGATTGCATATTTTAAGTATCTTGAAACACAAAACTTCAAATTATGAAAGGGGGAGGGTTTGCTTTGGAAACAAAGATTCATAATTGAAATTATTATACCAAAATATATAGCAATTATGAACACAACTAATCTTAATTAGTTCAATAAAGGTTTGGTAATGTAATATAAATCAAGCCCATCAGAGAAAGGTAGCGATTCTCCATTTTTGAAACTCATGCTATAGTAAAATGAGAAGTTTTATTTACAAAGAAGCCTGTCTCAAAACTAAGTAACAATTATACTATGACATTCTGGGTGGTAATGATACAAACCTGATAAAGAGTTCTCAGATGAGGTCGATTTTCCACTATTACAGCTTTCAAGACTAAACATTTCATTTTCACTTTCCCTAAAGTAAATTATAAGAATTAATTAATTGATACATAAAATCAAAACACATTAACATATCAAAACAAACAAAACCTGGTGTGGTGTTTGCACCACACAACTTTCACTTACTACTCTACCTTGAATATAAATTAACTTTAGATAAATGATTAAAATATAAGAATGTTGCTTTAATTACAAATATAAACAAATGACAATTATTATAAAATGCAATAATTTTGTGCTCTGAAATAATTTTTAGTGTTAAGCTGAAAATAAATTTTAGTAGTTCCTATTTAGTTTTTATGGAAAACCAAATTACTTTCCTTAGAAACACTTATTTTTCATTTAATTATATACAAGTATAAATTATTAACTACAATAATTATAATCATTGGTCATAAGAATGTTTCATCATTCTCTATTATGTTCTATGGCTTTATAAGCTAGATATTAATTTTCTAAAATCATAGATGTTGCAATAATTGTAGATCTATAATACTATATTTATTCCAAGAGATTTGTTTTCAACTGAGATAAATATTTCTCCTATTTTAATCATTTTTTATTAGGACTAACAATAAGAGATGGTTAATTATTTCAAATAAACAAAATTAAAGAGACTTCAGAGAAGTTTTGAAATTTCCGCATTTAATCCCTGGCAGGCTACTTCAATAGGAGAATAACACCCACCTGATATCAAAAATCTTTTGGGAAACAATTTAAAAAAGAAAAAGAAAAATTAGTTAGATAAGGTGGTACTCCTGGCTAGTCGACTTTAGCAAACAAATTAACAACCTTAAATATATAATTTCAGTTTCATTTCACTTCATTTATGAGCTATGCTGTTCAAATACACACAGACCATTTTGCGAGACACGGTTCTTTGGACACATAGAACCTTAAAGAGTTTATTTATATTGAAAACTTAGATTCAAATTTCCTATGATCGAAATACTTTCCTTTATTATATATTTCATATATAGATATGTGTAGTTAATAAAAGAATTAGGAGAAAAAATATATTATATAGTTGCTCTATTAAATAAATCATAATATTTTTATAAATAAATTATATAATCACCTGCTCTTTCCTTCCAATTTTTCCAACTTTCTAGCTACTTTGTAGGAACCTTTGAGTTTCTCTTTTTCTTCTTCCGTTAGATCAAGATACCTACAATCATTTCAAAATTTTAATAATTGATATTAATATTTTAAATGTTATTTGAGGAATGATAAAATAATAATAATTGTTACTGTATATGATAATTTTTTTTTTTTTTTTTAAATAACTGCATTAATAAAAATAAGTTTCACTATAATAGTGATATTCTGGAGATGTTTAGGCATGTTTTTGGAATAATTAATAAAAATCAATATTTTAGATTTAATACTTATTGTTTGGATACATCTAAAACCTGTTTTTAATACTATAAAACAAAAACATTTCCACAAAAAATCTATAAATAACTTCTTGATCAAATATTTTATCTAGAAACTTTAAGATAATGGCCTGTTTCTAGAACAATCCATAATAAGTTGCTGCAGGAAAACAGCATTAACGGAACTAATAAAACTAATGACATCTGGTAGGATTACTTCAATATAAATACAAGATGGTCTTGATTATTCAAAAACCTAGATTGCATGGCCAGTTCGGAGTATGAAAAGTTAAATTTAAAATAATGGAAAAATTGCAAGAGGTAACGAAAATATAAACACTGTAAACAAAAAAATATTTCTGAAAATTATCATATCATGTTTTTATAATCATATATCAGTAGATATACAATTATACTGTTGCTAAAGAAAACCCCGATGTTGTATCTGTTCATCCCCTCCAAGAAAGTATTGAATACCTTTGTGGTAGGGATTTCCAAACTAGAGCTTGTGGGCACCACTATACCCGCTTATCTCTAACCTTTATTGGCGATCACTCAGGCAACAGTTTTACTGTTGTCTGCAGTAGATCGACAAGTTTTTAACAAAATATTGAATCTTTATTTCAATAAATAACCAATAACTAATGGTAATTTAAATTAGCAAAGTATACTCCAACACATTTTATTCACTTTGAGACTAAAATAGATCCATTATTTATCTTCACAATTAAACTCCATTTTGATTATATTATAAAAATTTTGAATCTTCCACTACATAGATATCCAAAAATATTAGCATTGCAGACAATTAAAGAAGAAATCGCATGGTTTAGGGACTTACTTAATCTGATAGAACTGCATGGATTAAATTTCAACTTAAATCGATCTAACTGTGATGATGATGACTCAATTCAGAAAGACATATATAATCAATGTGTAATTAAAGTCCAGAATTCTAAAACTTTCACTTTTTACCCTTATTTAACATCATCAAAGACCCTATACCATGACCTTAACATCCCATTTGTCCTCGACATCATCCCAACCAGATTCTCAAACTTTCACCAAAACCTTATCCATCATCCAAATCATCTAGCTCAATCCCTATCCAGCTCCCTTCATCCCTACAATCCTCCACGAAGGTTAAAACGGCAGTGGCCCAGAGATCTCTTGTAAATATGCTTCTGAAGTCCTGGCAATGGCCAGCTTCTCCACTCATGTCCCGAGCGTCTGTGGCTCTAGTGCCCTCTTTCAGTCTCCATTGGCTTCTAATACTAGTGATGCGGCTGGAAAAGTGGCACTGGGATCTCCTGGAGTCTTGCTTTGCCTTCCACATGTGGGGGGAAAAAGCCTGGCTCGGAGATTTCTGGGCGAATGTATATATTGTATATAGGTATGATTGTGTTTATAAGTTTCTTTTTATGTTATTGTTTACTTTTTTTTTTTCTTCTTTTATTTTCTTTCTTCATCAGTATTATTTATTTACTTTTTATATTTATATTTATTTCTCTATTATTTGTACATATTGTTTGAATGAGAACTCTAAGCCCTAATACTTATAGCCCTTCAGTGGCTGATTGTATTATTATTCAATAAATAGATTAAAAAAAAAAAAAAAAATTTAACATCAGCAAATTATATTGATGACAAAAGCTCATTGAAGGTGATCAGATGGGTAATTAAGATTAGAGCTGATGTTTTGAACTTAAATTATAAACACTTCAAGCAAACAAATAATAATTGTAGCATGTGTAATACAAACGAAACAGAAGATTGCTTGTCCAATACTCTCTGAATTTAGAATTAAATGGTTAAAATCTAGAAATGTATCTCAGGATCAAGTAATAGATTTAATAAATGGAAACAATTGGATAGCATTGGTAAAGTACAGCAAGTCTGATTTATCCTATAGAATAATGCTCACCAGAGAATTAATAAATTGGAGAATTTCGGTACCACTCTTTTTGTAATTAAAATATTTATATAACTTTTACATTGTAAATATAATTGTTCTCATTTTCTTATTAATTAGTTGTATATAAATGGATTGAAATATAATTTTGTTATAAAACACAGACTGCTCAGATGGTCAACAGACCATGTAATATATATTATGGAATTTTGATAAATAAAAAGATTTTTCTTCTTCTTCTCCTACTATTGCTAAAGAAAACCCTTATGTTGTATCAGTTCATCCCCTGTTTTTCATTCATTATTGTTTCACATGGCTTGTTGCAGATTGATAAATTTCCAATTCAAATATTTTGCAATTTTTTTCTTTAAAATATGTATATTTAAAAATTATCAAGATTTTGTAGGCATAAAATTCAAAAATATAAATAAATTCTAATTTAAAAATGTGTTAACTTATTATAAAAATCCTTTATAAACTTAATAACTAACATTCATTAAAGTTTGTGTTTTTCGCCTTAAATGTGGTGACAAAAGGTTGGTAAACCCTGGTTTATGTTGTTTATATGACTTATCTATTATGAAAAATAAAATGGGTGTTCAGGAATCTATCTGAGAACCACAAAAAAAACCAACATATATATATATTTTTTTACTGACTTCGACATTATTTATTTCATTCCTACACGGTCAAGCTACAGAAAATGTGTGCCAATTTATTTTTTACCATAGACTGTGAACCAAACATGATGTCTTAAATACCAAGTCAAGCAACCTGGTTGAGGAAGGATGGGAGAAGAGAGGCCAGCAATAGCATTATCACTCCCAACAACACCAAGTGAGTCTACAAAATTTCCATAAAATTCACACCCTAATTTCTGACTGAAGCAATGAAGAGATGTTATCAACCTATCTGGTTAGAATAGGTTGGTTACATGTAGGATAACCTCCCCAGTAAGCCAGAAATAGAGAAAAAAAAAAATCTTCATCAATTAAAAACAAATATTACCGCAGTAATCGAATTTCTCTGTTGCTCAAAACAATGTTTCGTCCAGTATGAGCAGAGGTAGCAAGTTTAGCTTTCAAGTCTGACACCTCACTCTCAACTTTTCTCTGTTTCTTATGCTGTTTAACTTCACCAGGTTTGATGTGCATTAATACTTGTTCTTCGCACAATTCCCACAGTAATGGCTCCAAATCTCGACGTAGTTCCCTGAACAATAGAGAAAAATAATAACCACAGTATATAGTAGTAATAAAAAAAAAAAAAAATTGAATATACTCACTTCAACATAGCATTATATACTTGAGGGACAAGGGATAATACATCTGCAGCAGCATACAGTAACATGTCTCTAGTGAGGGGTCTTCGAGCCCAGTAGCGTTGGTCTCTCCTATATAAAGCTTTAAGAGCTTCTTTTTGGGGATTGATAGGGGCACCATAAAGTTCACATAGTGCATTTAAACTAACATTTTTAACTTTATAGACTGGCTTTCCTGTTAATTGTAGTTGTACAACAGCGTGAGCAGCCTGAATTGCAAGAAAGAATTTTTTAAGAATTATTAAGTGACAAAAATAAAATAACCATAAATTATTTTCTGCATTTATAAACTGGTCTAACAATACAAAAACCGAAAACTAACCTGAGTATCGAAAACATTTCTTAATGTTATACCATACTGGTTATACAAGTTGACACTATCATTTCTGCAGTCATGGATTACCTGAATTCAAGAAGTTAGCATTTTAAATTAAAAATAACATATGAAAAAAAATTAAATGATGGTGAAAATTGAGTTTTACCTTGACAACTTTCTCAGATTCAAGCAGCCTTTGAAGGCCTCCAGCAACAACCAGATTCGGACAGGTAACTAAATCAAAAATATAGGCCTGACCATTTGTTAAACCAATCTGAAAGAGTGTCAACTGACCTTTAGCTCCCAGATTAATCCCTTCACAATCAAATGAAACTGCTGTACCCTCGTCACCACTGAGGATATCTTCTACAAGGTTGAGGCATTCCTTTACATTAGCAATAACTTTAGTATTCTGTAGAACTTTTGTTTTCCAATTTTCACCATTGACAGACAAAGCAGCCAGACTTCTATCTTTTTCAGTATTTTCGGCTAAAGTCTTCATGACAAGATTATTTACCCGCTGTTTCAGTGACATTTTTTGCAAATTATTTGAAGGATTAATTTCTCTTGGAACAGGGGTTTCAATGTAACTATTGTTAGATACATTTTCTTCATTCCTCTTATTTTCAATATAATTACAATCAACAGCTTTGGCACAGTTATTGTTACTATTTATATTATTATTGACATTAGTAACAAGATTTGACTGCACATGAAATAAATTAGAATGCATTCTCAAAAAAGTTGATAAATCTTGAGAAGTTTTAAAAATAGGAGACCATACTTCTTCAGGAAAAAAAGTTCCTACATGATGAAACAACTGATCCACTAATAAAGGACCTTTCATATTTATACACTGCTTAAAAAAATTAACCAATCGATCAGTAGTGGCAGCATCAATCTTAGTTTCTTCTAACTCTTGAAAAGGCCTGGGTTCTTTGCCTTCATATTCTTTAAGCATGACAGTTTCCTCAGAAACAATAAATGCTTCAGGATAACGGCACAAAAAATCTCTAAATTCTCTGATATGCTGTCCTGAGATATGACGAACTTCTGGAGAGGCTTGTGAACGATGGCCAAGTAAACTTTTAATTGGTACTTCTGTACCTTCTCCATACTGGCGAAGCTTTATAGAAAAATATTCGACAGCTTCTTTAGCATAATCTCTTTTACCTCCTAAAGTAGCATTGCAAGTATCTGCTGAAGAAACACTATATGAATTTACATAGACAAAGTCTCCTTCAACAGTGAATAGAGCTGGATATTGTGCCAAAAATTTCTTCAGTCCAGATTGTGATCCTCCAGCTATTTGTCGCATTTCCTTAGTAAACCCCTTAGCACCGAATTGACAACTCAAATCATGTAGTGTTCTAGGTCCTCCTTTATCCAACAACTTTTCGAAGAAGAATAAAAGGGTCATATTTCTTACGTGTTCATATTCGGTGCTATCCATCCCTCTAAGTTGTTTTTTGTCAGCTTCTTGAGGATATCATTTTTGTTCCGATGAAACTTCGTTATGAAGTCTCCGTGAAATTTAATAATCAAGACATAGTATACACTACTTGCATTCTTTGTAAGTGACGTCAACACTGGACTGTTATAAGTGAGGTTATAACCTTAGAAAATATTATTATTTTTCAGGAATGTATTTATATGACATAAAATGAGAAAAAATGTAAGATATATGAACTTCAGTCATATGTAAATCTATTTTAAAAATATAAGTACTGAAAGATGATACTTTATTCATTATTTATTTATCAAAGACTTTTTTGAATATAAATCACAAATTATATGCCAGACTTGTTTGTTAAATACATAAACAATATTATCAATTGTAAAATCGTTAAATTTAGATGTTCATTGGCTTATAGAAGATTCATTGTACATCTTTGTAAGGGGAGGGAATATTGGAAAAACAAGCCGTGATAATATTCTCGTAACATTTATTCAGAGAAAATTTGGTACTTCATCCAGATAATTGTTTTCCATTAAAATTAAAACCATGATTCAGAATACATGTTTCTATCCACGTTTTTTTAACATACATTTGATAAAATGGTCCTTACAAAAATGTCTGAAGTAAAATTAGGATGTAGGGGAAAGATTTGAATTTCGATTTTGTATATTTTCTTCTGCTTTATCAATGTTGCCTTATAAAAAAATCTGGTGCGCCCAACACACAACTTTCACTTACCGATCTACTTTGAATAGAAATTACTTTCTGGCAATGCTGGGCTATTATAAAATGTTTTTGAAGTGCATTTTAAACGGAGCTAAAGCTTAAAGCTTATAGATATAAAGCTTATAGACCATTATAATTACAAAATGTCTATTTAATATATCGACGACAGGCAATAAAAATCTATTCACTCTATCTGCTTTTATAAATCACACAACTTTCTTTGCTTTTATAAACCACAGAATGACTAACTCCAAATTCAACATTTTTGAGTGATGTCATTTTAGTGATATTTTTAGTTGAAAAAGTTATCTATGCAGACAATGAGTAAGTTGATTCCAGAGGTGGTGATTGCAATGTTGAAATATAGAACTGAGAAACAAAGTATAAATTTAGGTACTACTTTCTTATGAAAGATGTTCTTAGGAAAGACACTTTATTAAATATCTGTAGAAAAAAAGTTTTTTTAGTCTCAACTATTAAAAAAATATATTTTAAATTTATCCAAATTTTCACCTCTTCAGGGAAAAAACTAGAGACCATATCTTTTCTCCTAATTGTCCGATTTTAACGAATTTTTTTTGTTTTTTTTTAGGAAATTCCACAAACTTTTAAAAAAATATACAATATCCACAAAAAACGTATACTTATTGAGTTATTCGGAATTTAATTTTAACATCCCTCGTAACTTTTTTCCAGCTTCTTTTCGTTGAAGTATGTTATATAGATAAATTTAAAGGGTATCGAGAAAATGACTTTAGCGAAGTTTCATTGAAATCGGTATATTCGTTTAGGCGCTACAGTCTGTAGGAACGCAGGTTTTTCTGCATTTTTATTTTTTTCTCCTTTATTAACTTATCAAATTCTTTCAAAAGTTTTATGTAGCATTTTTTCGTAACTCTGAATTATGCGAAATGGTTAACTTTTTAAAATAAACCATATTAAAGGTACTTTAGAGGAAGACATATATGAACATTGGGCATTTAAACCCTGTAAAGTGACATCAACGGGGATAAGACCTAAATGGTATTAAATTTTTCTATGTGATTGATCTGTATCAGATATTGTTTTTTTCTAAAATGCTTTGCTTTCCAACGATATATTATACGTATACCTTCTGACTAGTATTTTCAGAAATTCATTTTCCCTAAATAAGAAATTTTGACCTAAATAAACATTTTCCCTTTTTCTCTATTTTCCGATTAGCAAATTCTTTCAAAAATTATATTTAGAATTTTTTCGTATCTCTTAATAATGAGACATAGTTAATTATTTAAAATAAACCAAATTAAATGTAGTTTAGAGGAAGACATGTTGAACATTTAAGCATTAAAGCTCAGGAAAGTGACATCAATGGGGATAAGACCTCAATAATATTAAAGTCCACTTAATTATGCAATGATAAACAGGGTTTAATGAAAATCGTTGGAGCAGTTTTTGAGAAAATAATAAAACATTGTTTCAACGATAATATAAAGTACCACTTCCGGTTTGCCGATTTTGACGAAAAAGTTGCTGTCACATCCAAGGTATATACCTATCTTAAATACGTAATATCAGTTTTGTACGACTTTTCGTTTTTGGGCTAGACTGATCACATACATACACACACACACACACACACACACACACACACACACACACACACACACACACACACACACACACCATTTTGCGACACTTGGTTATTTGAACTCAGGGGACCTCAAAACATGTATTTCCATTGAAAACTGAGATTCGAAAATTTTCACGATCGCAATACTTACCCTTACTATATATTACATACATACGTAAGTGAAAGAAAAAAATAAAAACTGTCGGGAAATGGGGATGACGAGGGAGTAAATTTTATAATTTGTAAACCAGTTCTTTTAAATTAAGAATTTATTTTGAAAATATCTTTTTAGTACATATATATAATATAATCAAATTTACTAGGGTGATCAAATTATACTACTGACCAGAAAATCTCAACTTTCAATTGACAACAAATTACTGATCTACAAGACAATCCTGAAACCCATTTGGACCTATAGACTTGAACTTTGGGGGACAGCAGAATTCTCTAACATCAAACGCATCCAATCCTTTCAATCCAAAGTCCTCCGAACAATAGTCGATGCTCCGTTCTATGTAACCAACAAAACCCTACATCATGACCTTAATATCCCAATTGTCCTTGACCTTATCCCTGACAAATTTTCAAAATTCCATCAGAACCTTATCAATCATCCAAATCCTCTAGCCCAATTCCTATCTAGTTCCACTCATCCCTACAACCCTCCTCGAAGGTTGAAGCGGCGGTGGCCCAGAGATCTTTTATAGTATTTATTTTCGGAGTTCTGGCAATGGCCAGATTCTCCACTCAAGACATGAGTGTATGTGGCTAAAGCTCTCTCTCTCTGACTCCACCGGCTTTAGCACCGGTGAGGCGGTTGAGAGAGGAGTGCAGGGATTTGGGTTCCCCGCCTGATTGTATATAGGTATGACTGTATTTTTATGTTTTTAATTTACATATATTTAGGTTATTTTATTTTTTTTATTGTATATAGTTTTTATTTATTATTATTAAGTTATTATTTTACTTTTGTTAATTTTGTTTCTTTTTTGTATATACGGTGTGAATGTGTTCATTTATCAATATAATTATTGTCCCTGTGACAGAATATTACATGTCAAAAAAAAAAAAAAAAAAAAAAAAAAAAAAAAAAAAAAAAAAAAAAAAAAAAAAGGGTGGTCAAACTTAAGTTTTCCTTGATCGAATTCATCATCGATTTGAAATATATGTTGAACCCTCATTTTATAGAAAAAAATTAAGAAAATATCCTAAATCTGTAATCGGACAAATACATTACTCCATTTTGTTCTAGGTTGAATAAAATGAGGTTTTCAAGCAAGACCAGATCAAATAAAATTTCGCAAAAATAAGGATTTGTTAATTTAACTTTTTTTTGTAGTGTTTTGTTCATAATTATTTAATTTCAAATTATCGAAGTACTAACAACCAATTTATCGCTGTCATTCAATTCCTGAGAAATTTGCTGTGTTAAATTTTCTGCTATTTTATTTTTATTTTTTTCTTCTTTATTCGATGGAAGGGGAGCAATTGTTCCATGTTTTTCTTCTCCTGGCTACGGAAATAATTTATAGTGTGTTAAAGTCTGAAATAAATTGAAAACACTTGTCCAATCGTATTGGAGTAGGTGTTGGATAAGTTCCAATACTCAGCACTGAGCTCATTTATGGCATCGTTACTCTAATTTAGAGGTGTGTCCGCTGCAATTGATGAACTCATCGCTGATTTTAGGAACTTACTCATTTAATGTACGTACTAGGACCTTGGTTCAGCTAACATCGTGGGAATAGAATCTCTCAATTGTGAAATAAAGATAAAACAAAAAAAAATATATATGTATATTAAGATTAACATTAGCATATATAAGGAAAAATAAATAATACATTCCTTGTTTTATATATGTATTTAATATCTTATATTTCTCAGTGTAATGCTAGGATACTGGGACAATCCACGATTAAATTTACTTGATACAACTAAAGAGCCATAATTTAATTTCCTCATATTGTTCGATAGAGGTTTGATTCGTTTTCTTTGACGTGAATTCGTGCAAGGTCTGAAGAATATAAAGTAGATTATTTCAACCAAACTTAATATGCTGAAACCTAAGAAAAGGCCAAGTATACCGCCAACGTTAGCTAAGGAAAAAAAGAAAAAGAATATATATAAATTATTTATAACAGTAATGACTGAATATTTAAAAAAATGTACAATATTAATTGAATAATTTACATTTTAAATACATTTAATATGAAATACATCTAGTTACTAAATCTAGTTTTGTTTTATATCTTTCTACATTGTGATATATTAAGCCTAAATTTGTATGCAGGAAAAACCTGCAAAATATGTTATAAAAACCATACTATTTGCAGAAAATAAAAAAAACATAAAATACAGCAAAAAATTCTAAATATAAAATAAGATAGTAAATATTTAAAAACTCTAATGGTCTTTATTTTAAAATTTAGGTCTGATATAAACATATCGTCGATTTATTGCAAAAATTCACTTAGTATAAAATTAACTTAACCTAACAATGAACCGACCATATGTATTTTAAGGATCGCAAAAGGAAATAAGCAGGGATTGAAACGTTTATGGAACTAAACTTTTAAAAAGTTCCATTTTAACAGCTTCTGTGAAACTCTTTAGGAAAATAGTTTTTAAAATAAAAGTTCTACAGTTTTTTTTGTAATAAAATTCCAGGTTTATGGTAAAAGTTTAATTTGAATTATTGAAGTCCATACAAAAAGTTCCGTTAAATGAAAAATAATTAGTAATTGGGCTTAGATTAGAGTTATGATTTGTCTCAAATGAATTACAATGATTCGTATTTATGGTTTAATTTAGTTGGTATGAATAAAAGTAATTTTTTAGATCGAATTTTTAGTGAATTCGACAGAACTTTTAAATAAATGTATTTTAAAAATAAAAGTTTTGTAAAACTTTTACTTGAAAAGTTGCTAGGGAGAAAGTCATAGTTCCAAGATAGCTGAAAAACTATCGACAATAAAATTCCAGTGATACCGAAACTTTTTAAAAATAAAGTTTTTTTTCCGTTTCAAGCCCTAGAAATGAGATTGTATCAATACTAAACTCAATATCATGGAGTAAATATAAAAGTATAATATTAAGCATTGCGACATAAGGAGCAAAGGCCTGGAACAGGAGAGAGGGGGCTTCTTAAGTTGACTTCCCTGGCAAGAGAAATGGATTACTGGCGACGATCGGCAACAATGTCCAGAATGGATAAAATAAGAAATAAAAAAAAAATTGAGATAAGATTTAGATAAACTAACCAAAAAAAAAAATGGTATGAATATTTAAAAAGAATGCCTATTGCCTAAAGGGAGATTGCCAAGGGAGGTTTACTTTTGGACTATTGATGAAGAAGTTGGAATGGACGTTGGACAGAAAAATACGGAGGAGGTTTAAATTTATAGGTTAGGGAAACTCATTTTTTTATGAAAAATTATAAATAACAAAAATAATATTATTCATCATAATCATTATAGTAGCACAAGTAATATTTATGAATAATGTTAATTTTAAATAATGATCACATAGTTTTTTTTTTTTCATGTACTTCTTAATTTATCATTAAAAAAATATGAAATCACTCCTAAATATAAAGTAGGTATTAATTTTATTATTAATAATAACAGTGATAACAATACATATCAAGACATTATTTTAAACACATTATTTATTGTAGGTTTTGGATTGTTGTACAGAATGTTTTGTATAGGTATAACTGACTATATAAGGTAGGTCATTTCTTAACTGGGATCTCATCCTGATAATTGCAAGTGTTAATTATCCAATTTGATTAACGGTCAGGAACGGTTTAGTGTTTCTTTCTGGGCCGCCGCATTCATTCGTTTGTAAAAACAGTAAGTCATGACCGATTTCGTTTCTTTAGAATCAGCTGATTAGTTTTATTAGCATTTACAATGTAAACAAAATGGCCTCGTCTTGATTCCAGTTTTGCCTCAGCTTTGTTTGTTGGTTAAGCAATATAATTCTAAAATTATTAACACAATTTCGGGTATTTAAAAACATAGTGGGGGGAAGTAACACGAAGAAGCAGATTCTCAATGGATTTTGATTAGGCAGATGATTCAAGAAATTTGAATATGGTGACATCAGCCTCGATAAGACGATTTTAGATGAAAATCGTCATTCGATGTTTTGCGGAGTTTTGTTGAGATAGATCAAACGAGAAGTACTTGAGTTGAAATAAGAAAGCTAAGAGTTTCCTAAACCACAATAGTTCGTAGACTGTTGTGTTCAGAGTGGTAACCCATGAATTGTCCACTTTGTAGGTATGATTGCGAGTTGAAATACGTCAACAACTTTTTAAAACCTCAAATAATCATTATTTCACAACCATTTTTAGACCATAGTACACAACGATATAAATTTTTAGTATTTTATAGGCGTTCGAACGAGGGTTGCCTTTTCATGCAACGGCTGAGGTCCTGAGGTCGCGGTCAAGCCATTTTTCCATCCTGACGTGATAAAGGTTTCAGCTGCATACGTTATATGATATTAAGCAGGTTTATTATGGTGAAGACCACTTTATCAGCAAGAAAGATATAGATTCCATATTTGTTCTAAGCAATTGGCAAGAAGGTCTGGAGGAAGTGAATGAGGTTTATAATGGTGTAAACCACTTTATTTTAGATTGCTATTGAAGTTGTACTTTGGGTCTATCTTCACTTTGAAGCAGGTTATAGAGAGGTCTATCGATAAAGGAAAATAGCTCTCCTCCTGCTTAGTGCAATTGCAAAAGATTTTTGAAGGAATCTGAAAGGAAAACGAGCTTTTGTGAAAGACTAGTAGATATTCGATCAATCCAAAGTGTGAGGCACTAAACAGATAGAGAACCATTTTTCTTTCTCTGTGGACTTCTCTATAACCTACCTTAAAATGAAGACAGTCCCAATTTGCAACTTATGTTCCAATGTGCAACTTGAGTTTCTCAATCCATATCGCTCAGGCAATCGACAATAATTCTAATTTTAGCTTCTACGATTCTTGAGTAGACTTTCTTTGGTACTATAACAGTAAGGAATCTCGAATAAAATTTCCTAGTATCTCATGTCCTGTAAAGGGACAAAACTACAGTCCTTCCATATCATTTTCTAATACACTTGTAGCCTTTGTACGCACAGCATTTGGGTTACTTCGTCCAGACCAGCTGACTTGCCAATTGCTTAGAACAAATCTTTCTTGCTGATGAAATGGTCTTCACCATAATAAACCTGCTTAATATCATCCAAACTGGTCAAGCATTTTGACATCCTTTTAGCAGCATCTTAAAATATTCTGTTTATTTGTCTACTATATATTTGTTTAGCCATATAATAGATACTGATCCTTGTTTTCTTTTCCCAAATTTTGCCACTGTCGTTCGCTTAATGTATTTTTCCAATGTTTGGGTTCAATTTCGCGTTTTCCCTCATTTTGAGAGCAAATATTAACAATCAGTTCCAGTTACCTAGAAGAACTTATAGCTTCGCCCTTTCCATATTTCTTTTGTGCAGAGGGAATAATGCACTTTAATATTAAAAGTTCCTATTTTTTATGATGTGGTCCAACTTCCGAATAAAATAAAGGAAATAAAAATGGTTTTTATAATAGCGATATATGAATTTTACTAAACAATCCATCACCTATTCATTAAAAGTAGTTCAGATTAGGTATATATTATTTTAGTTTATAAAACAGATATTAATATGACTCATTTCCGGGAAAGTATATACAATTTAAATTACCTCTAAGAATCAGTAAATATATAAAACAAAATGTTAAATTGCAAATATTAAATAAAAAATTCAAGATATTCTGCAAAATATTTTTGAATTAAGTTTTATTATTATAACTATATAATTTTTATAATAGAGGCCTTCTTAAGTGACCTCCGTATAGAATAAATGAAGTTAAATTAAAAAAAATAATAATGAAAAATAAAAACAAAAATAGTAAATTAAAAAAAAAATTATAATTAAATTATTGTATTAATATTTGTTCGTTAATATAATCAATATAATAGAACAAACGTATAACGTTATCATAGCACTATAAATAAGCCATATATGAGTACTGAGTGATGTGGCAGAGGCCTGTAGGCACCCACGCCAGTAGCGATTGTAAAAATGATATAATTATAATAATAAAACTTAATTAAAACATACTTTGCTAAATATCTTTATTTTTTTATTTTTTATTTAACTTTTGAAATTTAACACTGTGTTTTGTATATTTACGGATTCTTAGAGGTAATTAAAATTTTTATATACTTCCCGGGAAATGAGTCATATTAATACCTGTTTTATAAACTAAAATAATATATATCTAATCTGAACTATATATAATGAATACCAACCGGGTTATTTAGTAAAACTCATATATCACTAATTAAAAAATTAATTTTTATTTCCTTTATTTTGTGCGGAAGTTGGACTATATCATAAATAAACAGTAAACTTTAATATTGAATGAATTATTCTCCCTGCACAAAGAAAGATAGAAAGGGTGACGCTATAAGTTCTTCTATAAACCAGAACTGATTGTTTGTTTTTGGTCTCAAAATCAGGAAAAACGCGAAATGGATTGAGAAACTCAAGTTATACATTGGAAGAGAAGTTAAAAATCGGGACTGCCTTCACTTTAAGACAGGTTATAGAGAAGTCCATATAAAAAGAAAAATAGCTATCTATCTTCTTAGTGCCTCACACTTTGGATTTTTTTTTATTATTATAATTATTTATTTATTATAATTATTATATAATTTTTATTATATAATTTAAGTTTTATTATTATAATATATCATTTTTACAATTGAGGTCTTCTTAAACAACCTAAGTATAGAATAAAGGAGGTTAAAAAAATAATAATAAATTTTATTTTTAATTTTAATTTTTTTTTACAATTAAATTATTGCATTTATATTTGTTCGTTAATAAAACCAATATAATGTACCAAAAATGTTATTATATCACTATAACTAAGCCATTTATGTGTATTGAATGGTGTGGTAGAGGCCTGTAGGCACCCACGCCAGTACTGCTTTTCTGTCGCATAAGTGCATTTTCTACGGAACTGCTTAAAATTTTTAAAAAAATAATCAGCGTTCTAGAAAGAAAAATATATTCTCCAGATGTTTTATTTCTGCACGTTTTGCGTTATTGTAGAGCGTTTAATTACAAACGACGCTTGATTTGTAACATGAAAATTTTTTTGTTAAAAAAATTGACTTTACTGGTGTTTTTCATAGCCTAAGCCAATTATTTTTTAATATTTCTTCCTGTTTTATTATTCCATGACTATTGAAATTTAATAAAATACCAACTATGAGGAAATTAAGCCAAATGCTGATTCTCAGTGACCAAAAAACTAACTAAAGTCAAAGTCGTCAATCCGCCATCTTTGGACGCCATTTTGGGGCAGTGCGTTCACTTTTTTTTGTGGGAACATTGGCTTTTTTTTTAATAAATAATTACAAGGAACACAACGATATGCAATTTATAGGGATGTGGGGGGGGGGGGCACGGTAAGGGGGTCTGGCCCACCGTGTATAGTACATTCTTCGCTTCTTTTCTTTTAGAATTTTGTCGCTCCACAAGACAAGATGAACCTTATTGTGACTTTTCGTGCTTCCTCCACTTTCCTCCGCTCGTCAATTTCTGATGATCCCGAAGAGTCCATGTAATATTTCAGATACTTAAACACCTTTGTTCAAGTCTGATCGTCGACACGAAGATCACCGGCGCTCTCAAAGCAGATGGCCACGTATTCTTTGTGAAATTCACCCCAAAGTCCTCCAGACTCATAGCAGGCCTATAGTGAGCACATAGTCCTTTCCAGAAACACCTTACCATAAATTGGACCGGATCATCGGCAAAAAAGTGAGACAGCTAAATTTTGAAATATAAAAAAGTATTAAATTGCATTAAAATAAAATTAATTTCAAATAAGTAAATACTGTATAATTTGTTAAGACCCATCCTATCATTTATGATTAAAAATAAAAATATAATTGGAATATAATATAATATTTTTATTTTAATGGTAATTACCAACGAAGTCACTGAATCCAAACATGACCGTTCTTTTGATTCCAATGAAGTAATTTCCCTGGAACATCACCTTCAGTATGGTATAAGTCTCGCTGTAACAAGTTTTATGAATGTAATTATTTTTTTCCTCTGAAATTCTTTTCATTTCGTTTGTCATAATTTAAAACCAACCCACTTCGATTGGTGAGTGAGATCCAGGCTCAAGTTCCTCGGTGCTTTGTTAACTCTTATTTCATATTGCAATTCCGAACAAGATGGAAGACAGTCACATGAAGAAGCTTCTCCAGAATTCGCTAGAAAATGAGCAAAGTTTTACATGTTTTCTTAACGTAAATGCTGTGTTTATGAAATTAAAAAAAATTAAAAACACTGCAAATTATTAAACAATGGTTTATTATTTACAAAATGCTATCGGGCTGATGCCCTCCCCCCCAAATGGTAAAATATAACCTTGTTTTATGAACAAAGTTATCTCTATATGTATTATTGTTAGTTTAATTCCATTTAATAGAAAGTATTACTTAAACACCATTTGATATAGGGACTTAGTTTCTTTCTTGCTTGTTTTCGAAGTAATTATCATAATATTTACCTACAAAAAAAATCTTTTGGGCTGAAGTCTTCCCAAAATTAAATCCTGGATCCGTTAGTAACCATTTGTAACAATACTTTTCTTGTAACATAAAGACAATGAAAAAAATGATTTGTTAAGAAATATAGACAACAATCTCTACCACTGCAGGTGATGTAAGACTTGCCAAAATTAAAAACAAAGGAAATCAGGTTTTTAAAGGACGTTAGGAAAATATTTAGAACAACAAATCTTTGCACTAAATCCTCCGATTTCAACAATTAAAAGGCAATGCCGAGTTTCCAGAATCATCTTCAGGTGCTCTTTGACATTGATGCCGAATCTCAAAACAATCGGTGCAGTAGTCTCGGAGCTCCGGACGGCGAACGGACGGATTTTTTTTATTCGATTTTCGGAGTCTACGTATCTTGAATCGTAAAACCTCAAATTTTGAGGCGGGTGGGTTGATTTTTTTTTTCTTGGTCGATTACAAAGGTTGATCATTGAAAGTAATGAACCAAAATGTATCTATTAATTGTATTATAAATATTATCTCCACACCGGCATAAGCGGAGATAGACAACGAGCTCTGCCCTGAATCACAGATAACTCTGGAGACAGTTCACATAAATCGACCTCCTAGCTGGCGAATGTTTGATTGTAAATTACGAAAGTGTATTTTATTCTGGGTAAAAAGAATCCTGAATAGTTACGAATGATCGGCAGGATGTTGTGTTCCACCAAGACAACGCTAGGGCCCACATCTCCTTGGTCACTCACGATAAATTATTGAGCTTTGGATGGGAGCTTTTGTCCCACCCTCTCTATTCACCAGACCTAGCTCCAAGTAGGGGTGCCTCCTCCTCCCCTCCCCAAGATCGATAGCTCAAGAATCTACCCCTACACTCCTCCTAAGATATTTTATTATTTGCCTTTTCTTAAAAACAAAGCAAGCTAATGTAGAATTAGAAAAATCGTACATCATATACAATTACACTTGCTGCGATCTGTTCCATGGTTTTCCCCTTGTCCCTTTGTCCGAAAATTCATAACCCCATCGAAATTTGTCCCACCTCAAAAATTCAAAAACCTGTCAAAAATGGCCCCTTCAAAAATTTGGATGGCGCAACTTGCGCCATGAAACTTCCTTCTGGACACCCCTGGCTCCAAGTACACTTATTCCGGTCTCTGCAGAACTCTTTGAATGGAAAGAAATTCCAAAAGGAAGAGGAAACCAAAAACCACTTGACATAGACATTCTATGAACATAGCATTATGCAGTTAGTGAAAAGATGAGAAAAGTCATATTAAATAATGGTTAATAATTGTATATATAAATAAATAAAAATAGCTGAAAAAGCTGACTTATTTGCCAAATCAATATTTAACTTGTCCAGTTTATATTTAACTTCATACGATCTCTACATCAATTTCAGCCTTTCCTTTTTAATATTTTCAATGCACATTATACTGTGCTTCCTTTTCTACTTCATAATAATTATAATTATATCACAATAAATATAAATAATATAATATATAATATAAGAATTAATATATTGAAAATAACTGCTGTCACCAGCATATTTTCAGGTTTGATTTTACAGCTGGTAAAATCAAACTATCACCTTTAGATGAATTGTAACATTTTTCGTACAAATTTAATCTAAACTCTTTTGTACTATTTTGTATAAGGAGAGCAGGAGGTAACATGAGGTCAACATATATGTAATTAAATAAACAGTTGTATAATTTGTAATATAATCGCCATAGGAAAGCAGCACTATTGAGCTCCTGTAATCCTACTACTCTCCTAATATTAAAATAAAATATGACAGCCACTAAGAAATTTTTTATATGATAGAGAGATATAGCTACTTACCTATAGATTTCTCCATGCATTGACGTTTAGCAGAACCACAAACAGAAGTGTTTAAGTTTCCTTTAACATAAAATATATATACATATAAGCATATATTTATAAATCTTTGTGCCATTAGTGATCTAAATATTCGCACCAAATTTATCACAGTACTTATTTAGAGTATTCAAATGATACAAATTTTCGTATTTATATAATTTGTTAACATTATATAAACATGTTTATTTCTTATTTTTTAAAATTGAATTTTTTTAAAAATCTCATCAGTTTCTAATCTCCTGAACATTTTTAATATATAAGATAGATTATGACTTCACCTTTCTTTTACCAGATAAGCGTACTATTTAGGTTGGTTCCTTTCAGAACGAAGATAAAAATACATGATGAACTACCATGAATATTCATTAAATTGTGGGTAAACATATCTCAAAGACAACTGGAGATAAACCAAAAGTTTGACAAGAAAAATAATTAACAATATGTTGTCAAAAATAAATACATTCTTTTTTTTCTAGTTTCCTACCTATACTAGGTAAGAAAAGTATTGCAATTGGGTCAAATATCCGATATGCGGTTTTCGACGGATGTATACGTTTTACAGCCTCCTGAATCCGAAAAACACATTTTTAGCCATTGGCCTGTCTGTCTGTCTGTGCCAAGATTTTCTCGGGAGCTACTGAACTGATTTTGTTGCTTCTTTTTGTAGGATTTTGACTACTGATGCATGCGACAGAAATTCGGCGCTCCATGCGCAATAGCTTGCGCGCAATAAATGAAAAACACGTTTTTCTATAGACTGTAGAGCAAAAACGGCTCTAACGATTTTGATGAAAATTTCATAAAACTATAGTAGGATATGGTTGCCTTCCTATCTGGCAGTGTGGAATTAGTAACTCAGAAGGTAAGAATCGTTATCTAAGAAGAAGAGGTTAAGAACCCTCCGTGTTATAACAACAAATATTCATATAATACGAGCTTAGATTCAGATAAACATGTAAACCATTTTAAATTAATTTTATAGTAATATTGTCAGAACAAACAATAATATAGAATTCCTGGTTAGAAAGGTAAAGGGAGGCTTTGTTTGCCTACCGTGACAATGAATAAACATTAGACTAGGTTCTTTGGCAATGAACTATCGCTTCTAAAATATCAAGTTAATTCAAACTAAGCATTATAAAAAAATAAATTCTGGAAAAAAAAATGGATTCACAATAGTGAATCAGCTATCCTTCTAATTAACCGGTTATCACTTTTTTTGGATCGTGAAAAAGATATTATTGATTTGTTGTGAAAAAAAAAAAAATAATGACAAGAGAATCAGTCATTCAGCTGTTGGAAAAATTGAACTCACTCCTGCGGTTAAGTCGCCTGGTGTACAATCTTTCAATTTGTTATGTGGATTATGACCAATAAATCGAAATAGGTAGCTTCGTTACGGTTTATAAACAAATAAAAAAAAACCTTACAAAAACAAACGTTTATTTCAGAAAACAAAAAAATTATGCGAAACTTAACAATTTCTTCTTAATTAATAATAATCTAATTAATAATTGTATGGTTATTCAACATATTTTAGAACTGGAGGAACTTCCTAAAATCGCTGAAAAGCACTGGTACATTCACTTAACATAAATGTTTTGCAAAACTGTGGCCCATATCTTACCTTATTAAGTGACAAACCTCAACTGAATTAATATGAACTTAAAGGTTATTAAGCAAAGAAGTTTTTTTCCTGAAATGGATTCTCTGGGGGTATCTAAATAGTCCATCTTCTATTTTTGATGCTAATGGCTCCTAATCGTACATATCGTGCACTAACTCATCAATTACCTTGAAAAAAAGTTTTAATCTTGAAAAAAAAATACTATTGTTTGCATTTTTGCATGCATTTTTGTTGGTTTGGTTAATCTGTTCGTCTGGTTTTTGGCCTTCCATGTAGTCTTTTGCCTCCAAGCTAAATACCCCGCTCTTCTTAACCCCCTTAACCCCCTTGCCTTCACATTATGAGACATTGATTGACAATTTTTTGTAAGCAGCTCTTTATTTGTAGTTCTCCTACATGCGTTAATACTGTGATCACAGGTCGCTTTGGATATCGTACGGAGGGTTTTCTCTGAAATCTTTCAATACTTCTTTCTAGGTCGCTGGCTACTGTCCACGTGTTTATATTCTTATATAAAATATAATAATTAATTATAAAAGTATAACATAAATAAATTTCTTTATAAGAAATATAAATACTAAAGACAATGTGATGTTTGGACTATATTCCATTGGTTAGTGCATTATAATATCAGATATGCTTCATAATTTCAATCTTAATATAACACAATTCGTAAATAATGAGAATTTTAAACAATAAAATAAGAAACAGTCTGTTACTGCATAACTAGTGATTATATACGTAGAATGCAAAAAATATCAAATTTATAATTTAATTTCTTGGAAAAAAAGGAAAGAGAAATAATGATGAAGATAGACTGGAAAATATTATTAAAATACTGTGATAATAATAAAAAATGACGATTAACAAAGAAAATCATATCCAATTAATTACTTGTGAGATGTTTTATAAACAAGTCGTTGAAAAGCTACATTTCGTAATTCACTCTTGCATTCTGAATTTTCCACTAATCTTGTCAGTAAAAGAGAGGTTCTCAGTTGCATTAAGTGGTGGTAAAAAGTTTTTTTGTTTTTTTCTTGTCTGGGATGTGACTGAAATACAAAATCTAGATAAAATTTACTTTAATTTGAGACCAGAATAGGCTAGGTGAACCTAATATATTTAGAACTACAGTTTTAAAAATTTTCACGACAAATTTTCCAAACTTGAAAATTTTAAACTATAATAATTTTCAAAATTGTGGGTTTATGATTGACTGTAGTGAATAATTGAAGAGAAGGATGGTTGGGGTGTTCAGTCAAATTGAAATAGTAAAAAATAAATAATTTTATTTATTTTAACATCCGCTGACGTTTCGACCCGAAGTTCAGACCTTCATCAGGGCTGGGAAAAGGACCAGATAACAATAGGTATAATAACATTGAATAGACTTTTAGTAGAACATAATAAAATTATTATAGATAACTTATAATTATTATATTTTGGATAGATTTAAAATATCTTAATGTTCTATTTATATCTATTATTTTCTTATGTAACTTCATATTTCTTTTCTCTGTTTTACACTTTATTCTAGATTACCATTTTCATTTCTTATGTTACCTTATATTGGATTATGCTTATTTCATTGGTCCTTGCTTTGTTGCAGTTATTATTATTTATTTCTTAGTTCTCTGTTACTTTTATCATTATACCTATTTTGTTTTACTTTAATTTTTATTCTATCTACTTCATTTTACATTAAGTTGTTCTACTAAAAATTATTAGTCTTTACCTATCATCCTTTTTTAAATCTTAATTCTGTATTTTTCGATGTCTATTAAATGTTATTATACCTATTCTTTTCTGGTTCTTTTCCCAGCCCTGATGAAGGCCTGAACTTCGGGCCGAAACGTCGACGAATAAATAAAATTGTTTATTTTTTACGATTTCAATTGGGCTGAACACCCCAACCATCTTTCTCTTCAATAATAATTTTCATGTTTATCATACGCAAAAGTCTTTATAACTTCAATAATCTGCCTGATACGAGTTCGTTAAATGAACATTTATTGAATTTAACATTTTGAAGAGGCTGTGGTGGAGGGGAGGAGTAAGAGGTTTGATAGGAGTGGTGAAGAGTTCACAGCCAGGCGACAGAAATTGAAATACAAAATTTGTTCAGCAATTATTTACATGAAGTGTTTATAGAAAGTGTAAATGAAGAGAATGAAAGTGTAATGTTTCCTCCGATTAGAAGTACCAGAGCCAAGCAAACTTACTAATGCATCTTCTTTATTACCATATTCATCGTTCTAGATTTACTTAAATGGAATGAAAATATTTATTTGTTGAATATTCTAAAATGAAATTTTCTCGAGAAATCCTAATATACCAGGAATATTCATGCAACCAGTGCTATTTATTGTAAATGTGTAAAGTTGAGAAAATTATTTACGAAATTTGTGTTAAATATGGCCGCTAGCACTCTCGATTTTAACGCAGCCTAGTGTATTTTTATTTAATTACATATCCAATACATTTCTTGAAAAAAAAAAAGGGCCAGCTTCGGATATAAACTGATCTTCACACTAATGTTTTTAATGTTATTTATTTAATGATGACACTATTTCCATCTTACTTACTTGGGAAGTAGAAAGGAGCACATCGACAAATACTCAGCGTGAAATTAGCCTTACATTCCATTTCACAATTATGTTGGGTGTAGATTTGGAAGAATTTAAGAAATCGTTCATTCTGGAAATAGCAACCCCTCTCCTTCGTCGACCATTTCTTCAAGCTCTCGTCTGTAATATAAAATTTTGGAGAAACTGACACAGTGGTTTCTCTATTTTCTTCCAAGTACAAGAGAGCATGTGCAGGGCCTGGCATTTCGGCGGGATTATGGACATAAACCTATCAAACAATACTAATGTTATTTCTTAAATTTATATAATAATATAATACAGTTAATTATTTTTATTTTCACTTACCTATAGATGCAATATATAGTAAGAGTAAGTATTGCGATCGTGAAAATTTTCGAATCTGAATTTTCAACGGAAATACATGTTTTGAGGTCTCTTGAGCCCAAGTAACCAAGTACCGCAAAATGGTCTGTGTGACTGTGTGGTATGTATGTGATCAGTATAGCTCAAAAACGATAAGTCGTATGAAAGTGAAATTGTATATTTAACGTTTGTTTATACCTGAGATGTTACAGCAACTTTTCCATCAAAATCGACTAGCTGGAATTGGCACTTTATATATTCGATTTAACATATTTTTACGATTTTTTCAAAAACAACTCAACGATTTTTATTAAACTCAGTATATCAGTGTATTATCAAGCTGTTTTTAATATAATGTGGGTTTTATTCTAATGGATGTTCTCTAACAGGGCTTATATGGCTAATTTTCAATATTAGCTTCCTCTAAAGTACCTTTAATTTTTTTTTATTTGAAATACTTAACCATTTAACATTAATCTTTGGAATAAAAAATAGTTAAATATAAAATATGAAAGAATTTGATAATTAAATAAAGGAGAGATCATAACGGATAATAATTGTAATAGAGGAATCAAACGAGTACGAACGCGCCAGCTTACAACAGACCATAAGTCTGTCAAATAAGGGTGTCTTAGGTCAAATTTGTAGAAAAAACAATTATTTTCCGATGGCAATAACAATTCATATTCGGGGGTCTTTCGAGGTGCGAAATACAAATCTCAACTCTGTTTCTCCTTACAAAAGTATTTCAACACCCATTACTCCTTCCGTCAATATGGATTGTTATTATACAATATGATTTAAATTATACATATTTATAATCGATTTTTATAATTTTTTTTTTGCTTTGTAGATAATTTAGTAATCTTTGGAATTATCATGGGTACAATCGAGAAAAAAATGCATACTTTTTGAGTTATTCACAAATAAACTTTTTTTTCAGAAGTTTCGGAGGAATAGGACTATTTTTCACATGTGAAAGAGAAGAATATATTCAAAATGAGTGGTCAATCATTGGATTTGATGAAGAATTGACGAAGTTATGGCTTACCGACAAAAAAAAAAAACACATTTTAGAAATAATATATAGGATGGAAGAGCTGTGCTGAGATAGTAGTCATGGAAACGACTTCACTTTTCATTATGATGTTTTTGCCTGCCGTTAACTAAAACATTTATAACTCCTCAGAATTTTATCCTAATTCAATGTTCCTACAACCGTTGGAAACCGGTTCATGAGTTTAAATTCGTACAATTCGTAACATGAGTTAAAATTAATATGGACAATATTATGTACTTATACATATGCAGTTTTCATGAATGCTATCCTTAGTATTATTTAATATTTGGTTCTATAGAATACATTGATATAAAAATTAAAATTTGCATATATAAGGTTATGTAAACATATAAAAATACCCACAATGAATTGTAAATAAATATAGCGTCTAATAATTTTTCTTTCACATTCCCTTTGTTTGAAAATACTTATTTCTGTTAAGAAGTGGTAACTGGTAAGTAAAGAGAGTGGTAACTGAAAATCGTGTGATGCGCGTACAAGATTTTTTACTTTGAAATAATGTTTGGTAAGTCTGACAGTTCCAATGTAGTATCTATGTATTAATATGAGTATAGCTTACTGAGAAACCTTTGCCACCTCTACTGCACAGCTCCTCGTTGTCTTTCATTTCTATGTTGAACCCGAAACGGACGCCATTGCCCCCAGCTGTTCTCCATGGCGGGGCGTCTGGATAGGAGCCACCGCCGGTGATGTACCCTGTGTCTGGGCTCCACACCTTTATCTTGTCTGTCCAATATTTCTCCGCCCAATTTCTGAAACTTAACATCAAACAGAGGATAACGTTTATTTTCACCAATTTTAATCGTCGTTAAATATTAATTCATTTTTACTTTCACTTGTCTATATATGTGCTATATAAACCCTAATAACCAAGTAAAATGGTTTTTGTAATAGTATCTGTGATTATGAACATCCTAGCGCTGAAAAACTAAAACCCTTACGAAATGCCTGGGAAGTTACAGTATCTTTATGGCCAAAATCAATGTACTGCTAGTGTCTCTTTATATAACTGATTTTTCATATTTTTAAAGTTTTAATTTAAACTAAATTCGTCATAAGGTAATATTAAATAGTCTTCAATATCAAGTTGGAATTATCCTCACTGAAAAAGCATTTTGAATGCTGTATTATCAGAAAAATAACTCTAAGGTACATTTGTAGAGTCATTAAACCTACAAATGCACCTCTCTCTTATTGAACACTGGTGTAAGAAATGGCGCATCAAGATAAACCTAAATGTAAACACATAACCTTCACCCTTTGTCGTAAATCCTTTCCACCAGTTTATTTTATCACCATCCAGCTTCCTCTCTCAGATACAATCCGGTACGTTGACTTTCTGATAGAGCGACGACTTACCTGGAACCCTCATACTAGACTTAAAAGAAAGGAACTAAAACTTTCCATTGAAAATAACCTACTGATCTACAAGACAATACTAAAACCTATTCGGACTTACCCACTAGAACTGTGGGGAACAGAAAAAAATTATAACATCAAGTGCATCCAATCCTTCCAATCAAAAGTCCTTCGAACAATAGTCGATGTTCCTTTCTATGTACCCAATTAAAAACCCTACATCATGACTTCAACATCCCATTTGTTCTAGACATTATCCCAGAAAAATTCTCCAAATTTCACCAGAACCTTACGTATCATCCAAATCCTCTTGCACAATCACTATCAAGCACCACCCATCCCTATAATCCTCCAAGAAGGTTGAAACGGCAGTGTTCTCGCGATCTTTTGTAGATTGTATATATTGGAGTTCTGGCAATGGCGAGATTTGCCACTCAAGACATGAGTGTATGTGGCTAAAGTGCACTCGATCAATCTCCGCTGGCTTTAGTACCAGTGATGCGGTTGAGAGAGAACCGCAGGGTTCCCTCGCCTGATTGTAAATAGTGTATGTAAGTATTAGGTATAAAGTAATCCAAATAGGCCTTATTATAACTATATGTAATTAAATTTGTTTGGAATTAAGTAAAATCTTGTGCGTTTGTCCAGTAAGTGCTGGAGTAGTCGGAAACGTCGAACTGATTCTTGTCGTTTTAGTCTTGTATGAGACGCTTGTCCAGGTGGAGTCCTAGGAATCAGATTTGTTCTACAGGGATAAGTGGAACACAGGGGGATCTACGGGGGGGGGAGGGGGTAGAGGTAAGCTTTAGGGCTGAAGGCTCTCTCCCCAAAATTGTAAAATGTAATTATGTTTATGTTTATGGAAAAAAAAATTAAAATATTATCTCTTATAGTATTGTTGTTCGTGTAATTACATTCGATAGGACCTCAAGAATCACCATTTCATATAGGTAGTTAGCTTTTTTTTCCAAAATAAGTATCGTTATATATATATGAAAAAAAAACCGAGTAGTGTGTTAATGTGTAGTCATTAAGTTGACAAAATTTTGAAAATCGGTGTAAAATGGCTAAAAATAAATAAACTTGAAAAGAAAAAAAATCCTTTCATGCTGAAGCCCTCCTCCCCCAAAATGAAATCCTGGATCCTCTAGTGAAGTGGAGTATTATTGAAGGATATTGTAGGACAGGAAATCATGAGTTTGCGACGAAGGGTAATTTGATGGGATTTATTAGAATTTATTTTAATTCTCCAGTTTTGACACCATTCTTCAAGATTGGTGATCTGTGACTGAAGAGTTTGGGATGCAATTGATGAATCATTATTAACTGATAGGACACTTGTGTTATCGGCATACGTGGTGATGACAGTGTTAGGATGGTTTGGGATATCAGCTGTATAAACTGTAAAGGATGGGGCCTAGGAAGCCGTCTTGAGGAACACCAGCAGACTGAGAATCAAACAGAGGAATTTAAAATGGTTCTTAGCTGTAAGTCCTTCAGTTAAATGAAATGGTTTGTAGCTCTCTAAAAGTGGATAACCAGAAATGTCGCATTAAATCACAAAATAAATAACTAAGACCAATAAAATTAGCTATGAATAATCTTACATGGTTGTTGGGTTTCTAAAGATGTAGGAGAACGGAACCATATTGAAGCTCAAACAGGCCCCTTGAACCGTAACTATAGGTTGGAAGTACCGACATGGCGTATCCATCGGGGTGTAGCTCCATCTAAGTATGGGGATTTGTTCCCTGCAGGTTTCGATTCCAAAAACATTCTATAAAAATAAGAAAAATAAAATATTATAATATGTGCTTATTATGCAGTGAATATTTACTATTTAAAATTAATAATTACTTCTAGCATGTCATGAAAGAACTGTGGATCAAAGGTTTCAAATTCTTCTCCAGGGTGATTAAAATTACAAATGTAGACAGCATATTCAAATCTCTTCCTCCTGATAAATTATGAAACGAAAATGTAAGTTATTAATACAGAGAAAAAAATGGTATATTGTTTTCAAAATTATCGTATGTATTCACGTCAGTTCTCTTTTAAGGTAAAAGTTGTTTGATCAAATGATTCAATTATACAATTTTGTTTCTGAAATTGTGAAAACAAGATAAACTCATTAAAAAAATTTTTAAATAAAAAACAGGTAAACTTAGTCCGATTGAAAAAATATATATGTAATGCTTTTGCAGGAAAAGAGGGACTTTTAATTGCATATCCTCCTACTCTCAGGAAAGCCTCTTAAATATCTTAAATAAATAAAAGTGCGTTTAGACATTTCACAAACTAAGGCAAACACGATTATCTAACTTAATTAATTAACATCTAAATTATTGCTAAACCAAACTATTTATTTTATTTCTCTTGATACCGACATCAGATGGTAAATATCCAAAACAAGAAACAAAAATACTAGCATAGTGAAATATCCATTTATATATTTGTTTGTCACGTAGTTCGTAAAATGTTTAAACGTACTTTTAATAGTGCTCCAAATATCACTGTAGATAAAATAAAATTAAATCAAAATCCAATTTTCTAACTTTGCTTTCATATCTTCGACTTTTAATCTCACCATCTCATGCATTATGTCATTACTATCAAACTCTCAAATGATGAAAAAGTTATACCACTAAAGTGCATTTCTATTTTAAAACACAGGTTTATAAAAAATAAATTATAAAGTTTTGAGAAGGAATATTATTAAGATAAATTTTATTTTTTTGATTTCTTCCATGCAAGTACATATATTCGAAATCAAAACATGGCTTGATTATTTTACTTACATTTCAGGCGATAAGTGTTGAAAATCATCAAATGCCTCAGTTAAATTTATAGTTGAAGAATGTATTTGATTATCGGAGCATATTGTCACAGCTGGGAAAGGAATTTCCGTCACCGATCTGGACTTGGAATCGAAGGTAATTAAAATAGGTTTTCTGAGATAGATTTCTACCTGGTCGATTACAATGAATGCCACTGTTGAATAAACAATAATAATTGCAACTAACCAATAAATCCTGAAAAATAAATGAGCAGATTGAGAATTAGTTTACCAAGAAAATACTTATTGCACATCCAGAATGAAAGAGGCTCAACTCAAAACTTTTAAATTCAGTAATTTTAATAAGTGGCCATAAGTCATCTAAAACAGCATCCAGTCCCCAAATATCAGTCCAAACCAATAAGTCATCGAAAATACTAGAAATGAAAATCCTAATGCCAAAAACCGTCAGGTCAGGCGGCTAACTGTAAGCATTTGGCTATGGTAGAATTTTAAAAAGCGAAAAAAGCGTCAAAAATACGTGAACAGGAGTAGGAAAAGGTTTTCCTTCTGGAATAGTTTATTTGTTGTTGTTTTTTGGCGTAAAACATCAAGGTCATCAACGCCTACGGTTTATTTCATCTGTAAGTTTGTAAAATATTTAGGCTATATTATTGAAGAAAAAAAAACTATAGAAAACAATAAACAAAAGTTATCAAATTACAGAATGAAATGAAATAACAATTAGAAATGGTAGGTTTTTAAAGATAATAACTCGGTAATAGTGCTATCATCTAGCATCATCATTCAAATACCAATGCGATTGAAGTTTCATTGTCATTAAGGACTATAGACAATTTTTTGATCAATTCTATTCTATTTACACTTGAAATTCTTCTAGAATAGTTTCAGACAATTTTGTAGGTAACAGATTTAATAAAGGATATCTGGCAGGTAGGATAATGAACGGTCTAAGTCAGGTGGGGAACGCATTCTGGGGCCTCAGGTATCCAGCCACAATCACTAAGTAGTGATTTTATAAATATAAAGGTGTTGTGAAGGGTATCCTGAGGTATGCGTCTCCCATCTGGTTCCAAAACTTCACACAAAGACAGAAAAATAGGCTATCATCGACTCAGAGGACAGCTCTGCTTCGGCTCACCAGAGAATATAGGACTACTTATATAAAAGAGGCTAAACAGATCTTTCGGAGAACCTATAGATGAGGATTACTGAAAACCCTAGTAATTGGAAAAAAGATAATCCGGGAGGAAACAATTGAAGAGTGGAGCCGATGGTGGGTGATGACACCGAAAGAAAGTACCTTAAGAAAATACTTCCCCAGTGTTCAATCTCTGTTAGGAGCAAATTAGATCCTCCCGGACAATTGGGTTTAACAATTCCTCACGGGACATGGGGGCTTTAAAGCTAAGTTACACAGACTCGCACTAGATATAGACCCCTAATGTCCCGCTTACGGTGTTCCGGAGACCGTTCGGCAAATGTTCACGGCCTGCACTGCTTTCGACGGAGTACGAGCCACGTTAATGAGAACCATGGGAATTTATGTCCTCACCGAGGAGGACTTAAATTCCGTAATTAGTAAATCCTCACTTGGTGAGCGAGGACAACTTCCCGTGGTTCAAAGACTTCATAAATGGTTTGAAGACGGCGGTGGGTCCAGCTCACTTCAACTTATAGCCAGGGCCCAAAAATCGAACTCATAGCAGGCGAAGGTTTGATTGTAAATTACGAAAGTGTGTGTTATTTTCAGTAAAAAGAATCTTGTCTGCCGTTCCAGAGCCGCTGCTTTAAAAAATGGTGGCTGATTTAAAGAATATTAGGCCAGTGACAGAATCGAAAAGGGAAATCCATTGTAAAAATGTGAGATTTTTTTTATTTTTTTAACTTGTGGGTTAGACATAAAAGATAATATTGTTGACGCGGGCCACCAAGGGAAAACTTTTTGAAGCCAACTAATTTGTGAATACCAACTAATTTAATGTAGGTCACTTACTGCGAACAAAATCGGTAATCTCCCGATGGTTAAAAATTGGTAACGAAGGTAAACATGATTTTCAATATTTCAACAGTTTGGGTGTCTACTGAGTTATTTTTGTTTAGAGTCTGTTACATGCTGTATAAGCCTCTTTTCCACCTCTCAGCAGCGAAGGATTTTGATAAACTATGTGTCGAAAGATACCGAATTTCATAAACGACTAATGAATCCCGATTCGAGATATTTAATTGGCCTACAACAAAAATGTCAGTACTTACTGGACGCAAAATGTGATGCTCTACAACTTTAATTCTATTTTTCCTCTTAGGGAACTCATTTCCAAGTTATAGGACAATTTATAGTAATTAGTCTCAGTTTTTGACAAATTTGATAAAAATCAGCTTCGGTTGACTGAGGTATTTTACCACTTAACCCAATTATTTACTTAAAGAGTAAATTTTTCGCTTCAATGCATCGTTTAGGGGTTATAGGTGAAAAAAACAAAACAATAAAACATCGAAATAACCTGACTTTTATGGCTGTAAAAAATTTTCTCTTGTTGGTCCGCGTTAACAATTTTGTTTTTTATATGTACAATCCCATATATCAAATTTAAAAAAATAAAAACTTTTTTTAGATTTTTCGCAATGAATTTCGCATTTCCCATTTCGATCCTCAAGTTACTGGCCTGATACTCTTTAAATCAGGCGCCATTTGCGCCATTGCGCCATTGAAAGCAGCGGATCTGGAACAATAGATTTTTTGGCTCTGGCTCCAGCACTGCTAGGGATCCGCATAAGGAGAAAAGGACCAGTTCCGCGAAGACCGCTGGATTCTGGAAGGCTGGCTTAAATAAGGAAGAAGAAGGACAAAATAAAAGAAAAAATGTATAAGAGCTACCTGTGTGCACAGCCTTGAATATTGTATGAATTTATAATCGTAGTAGTGCAATGCTGAACATCATGGAAGGTTGTGAACAAATATTAACTTTTTTTAAAGCTTAGAACGAATCTGACGCGTTACAAAAACGTCTGCCAAGTAAGGTCGGTATAGCTTCCACGCCAAATTCACCCACATTTTCCATGAATTAGAAAAAAGTAATTCAATAAGAATTAAAAAATGATCAGAATACAGAATATGAAAGCCTATACATATTTAAAATTTTTCGATGCCCTTCAATTATAACTAGTTAAAAAATATTTGGAATAAAGTTCCTTAGCCCTTTGAGGTTTGAGAGGGAAATTAAGACCACAACCACTTGGTTGAACTTCAAAAGGAACAAATAAAGTCACATATTTTTTACAGTCTATGTAAAATTTAAAATGTAAAAGGAAAATCGCATGCCTAAGCAAAAGCTGATGGAAGGGATTGGGCAAAATATTGGACCTTATAAGTTTTAATCCCAACAATCACTAGAAATTATTTGTAATGGCAGTAGGTGTAAAACGACAAATACCAGTAATATGTAAACGACTTCCAACTTTGAGTCAAATTGAATGGGGCGTTTCTGAAATAATAATAAGTGGAGCTGTAGGATGGAATTTGATGAAATACATATGGAATCATCTAGATACCAATCAGCACATTCCCTGAAAAAATCCCTGTTACATCGATTTGACGAAAGACTTACAGACAGACGCCGAACCAAATTTGATCCTTGAAGTCTGAAACGTAAAATGCGAGTGGAATTTTTCGATTCTGAGCTAATTTTTTTTTTTAACCTCCCGCACGAATACAAAGCTTCTCTAAATTCGGTAGTGAAGAAGTAAAACTAAAATGTAAGATAATAATTACATAATATGTAATTATTCAAATAACTTTGTTTGTATTTCTGAATAATATGAGAGAATCGCACTTTCTAATAAAATTGTATTTTCTAGCTTTTGCAGTGTAGCTGTCGATATTTACATCAAAGTATTTTAATAAACCTCGATGTGGAAACAAAAGAGTTAATTTTCATCAATTAATGACGTGAAATGCCTTTCACTATACTCTCTCCCTTCCTCAAGCGAGTGTAAGGTGAACCCAGATTCACTAATGAATTCTCGACTCGCCTACAAGCTTTCCAAACCAATTAAGATTCTCTTGTGCTAATTCAGGTCCACTTTGAAAGATAATAAATAATCTTTCATTTATATCTGTAGTAGAAAAACAAGTGGAATCGATAAATATCTATACTACAAACTTTTGTACAAAGTTATAGTAATTACTAGATTTATAATGTAAAATAAGGAGGGGATTGAAAATGCATATGAAATAACATAAAGTTGTTATAATTCAAAACAAAACAACAGCTATATAAATTGTTAAATAGAGAAAGAAAATATATAAAATAATTCATTTTACCTTATTTTCATTTCTATCCTTCATTCGTTATACATCTATAATTAAAATATTTTCTATTTTTAAAGTAAACAACTATTTTTATTACTTTTCATACCGCTATTCATAGACCGCTATTTCCTAGTTAAGAGTTTTAAAAAAAACAAAACAATTATATATCGATATATTTAAAAACATATATATTTATGTTTTATCCGACATGGATATTAAAGTATGACTATCGAAGACCGATATTTTTAAAATTAATGAATAAACAAAAAATTAAATTAAAATATCTAAAAAGAAAGCCGTCTCTACGGAGAGCATATAAAACTGGGATTACTTTTAAACCCAATAAGTATCTATGCAATGTTGGTTTATCTTTGTCATACATTTCTATTTATTAACTTTTTTTTGTCTATAATTAAAATGTATTTTTTTTTTATATGTTTCAGTCATTATTAAATTAAACTTTGATTTCTTTATCTTTTGCCATTTAATTAATTTATCTTTATTTATTTTAGTTATCTTTATTTTTATTTTTATTAGAGGTAGCTCAGTGGGTAAGAACTGACTTCCTAAGCTCAAGGTTCCGGATAATGATTTTTTTTTATCAACTTTGGGTAGTTCCTGGGGTCGGGAGACTCTATACACCCAGCCTCTATAAAACTTTACTTACAAGAGTACACACTGGTACTCTAAATTAATTAATTAATTTAGGAGGAAAAACTTGACGGCTTGATCACCCTCCTGTGTTGTTGGGATTATGGATTATAATGATACAGATTTTTTAAATAATTATTTACTTATTTATGTAGTACTAATGTCTATCTAATATATGATATAATATTTATCGATATTTTAAAATAATAATAATATCAACGTTGTTATTAAAAAAAAATGTTTGAATTAAAAAATCTTCTGAAATATTTAGG